CTTTAAAATCACTAACACAAAACGACTTAAGAAAAGTTTTAATAGAAAAAAATCCACGCGGACCAGGCAGCGGACGGGACTCGAACCCGCACCCTTTGCAATCCGGGAGCTATTATGAATTTTTCTAGGTTCTTCAAGCCCATAGTTTTGCTTTTAGAGATGGGGGGACGCCCTACTCGAATAAAAATTATAACTTTAAAGTTCAATATTTCGCAAACGGATCCCTAAATAGAAAAATAGTCTTAGAAACCCCTAAGTAATTTTAATGACAGGTCCATTCAGCGATGGGGTAAAGGATGAAAAAGACATCCCCAGGTTACATGTGGGAAAGTTACCATAAAAAATATTTTTTTAATGTTTATTCTACACATTTTGTCGGCGTGATTGATAAACATATCTCCACAAAATTACAGCTCTCTGGTGCTAAAAGTCTCCAAGAAAAACCGGGGTCGCACAGACAGACGGACATGACGAAACTATAAGGGTTCCTTGTGAGGACTACGGAACACTAATAATGTAATGCGACATGCTAAAGCTGAACGTAAAAAATGTGACGATGTAATAAAAGTTTCACTTTCATATTATGACTAGCGGCCCGCCTTCGCTTCGCTTCGGTGTAGAGCTGAAGTGTAGACTACAGTTTTTGTTCTCAGGCTTGTGTTATACACAATGACATTCTTCTTATACCTGCATGCAAAGTCTCAGCCCGATCGGTTTAAAATTGACAAAGTTTCATACAAACTTTCATTCCCTATTTTATCCCCTTGGGGGTAGAATTGATCAAAATCCTTTCTTAGCGGATGCCTACGTCATAACATCTACCTGCATGTCAAATTTCAGCCCGATCCGTCTAGTGGTTTGGGCTGTGCGTTGATAGATCACTATGTCAGTCAGTCAGTCACCTTTGAGTTTTATATACATACTAGCTGTCCCAGCGAACTTCGTACCGCCATAAAAAATAGGAGGTGGTGGTAAAGGAGTGAAAATTTATTTAGGATTGTATGTATTTTTGTATGGTGTGTCATAAAAAAACAAAAACAAAAAAATGTATGCAAAAAAAAAAGGGTGGAAATAATACCCTTAACATTTAGGGGGATGAAAAATAGACGTTGTCCAATTCTCAGACCTACTGAATATGCATATAAAAGTTTCGGAGTAGTTCAATTACGCACACCGTGATTTATACATATATTTTATTTTATAAACTGGACCTGTCTGAAAATTCCATTGAAAGCAATCTTTACATATTTTAAGTTACAACCAGCCAATATCATATCATCCATCCAAAAAGAAAGACTTCATTGACATAAGCTGTAAAAATATTATTCCACCACACTGGTGGATGATCATCATGATTATCATGAAAATTCAGCCATATTTAATAATAACATTTCAATGTATGCGAGTGATGATGATTACAATTAGTGATAATATTGAATATTTTATTTTTTAATAAAATATTAAATGACGCAACTTTTAAAGTACATAAATATAATATTATATTTTGATTATAGTTATAATAAAGTAGGTACAAATAAAAGTCTGTGATTTGAGCAATTGTTCTTAAAAATTATCTAAAATAATCATTAATTTTTGTTCACTTTTGGCTAGCAGCAATGTTAGCATTTATTTACTTTTGAAGAAATTTAATTTAGTGGTTTAATTTGTGATTTCTTTGACATTTTTTGTAAACCTAACTGCGAGTTCTTATTCCTATCGAATAAATAAAAAGCATGAAAGTAAACGTACAAGGGTCAATATGACTTATTGCTTTAAGTATTTACATGGTTAATGTTATTTTAGGTTATTTATTAATGTTACTTGGGTGATGTTACATTCTAATAGTAAAAATAAAATTTTAAGCATTAATTTTGACGTGACAACGTCTTAAATTAGGTTGCGGCTGGGAGTCACTTATGAAAAAGTGTAACGCTCGGTAACGTTACGATGAGTCTCTCGTGTTAAGTTTAAGTTTACATGTACAATGTTTTAGTAAACAAAATATATTTCTATAGTTAAAATTTGTGCAATTCTTATTTTCATTCAATTCCTTGTTCCTATTGTGCAATTTAATTATATTCATATCAATAAATATTCTACCGAGAAAAAGACGTTGTCACGTAAAATCTTCGCCCGTAAAACCGACTTTACAGGCAACCATTTTTTATTGTAAGTATGCACTACGTAAATCGACCAAAGTAATACTTTGGCCTTTTTACTAGCTTTTTGGATAACTAAAAATATAAAAAAATAACGAATAACGGCGAATGAGCAATAAAAGCAAAATAAAATATATTTAGAATAAGCACTGAAACATTCACGAAGAATATAGTTATTATAACAAACATCAAAGTTTCATAAACTTCAGATTGGTAGTTATAAAGATATATAATTTTGAAACTTCAACAGCCTCTCCTGAAAAGTCATGATTTTGCACTTCATCCCTTATACCTAGGACCCATCGATATATAGGTATCAGTGAAAGTATTATATCCGTTACCCTAGGATTCCACATAGCACAAGCTTCACAGTGCTTGCTTTGGGGCTAGGCACATGCTAGAAATATTTATTTATCTAATAAATATGCTTAAACAATAACTATGTGGTCGCTTGAATGCAGTTAGCTATCAGCGTAGAGACCGTGAGTCTGCGCTTACGCACAATATTTTGTGCTACGGCCCAGTGTTGCCAGGTCTCCAGATTTTACAGGAGATCTCCTGTTTTTTTGAAATTTCTCCTGTTCTACTGTTTTTCTACATGAATCTCCTGACTTTCTTAGAATAAGATTTTATGTTTTAAATTGCATGTTGAGTTGTATTTTCCGCCATTAATAATATAGGTAACCTTAATAATGATAAAATAAATATTATTGTCTACACATTCGTTAGTGGTCTTTATCTTGATTTGATTTACTAATTCTAGGGGGGGGGGGGAGGCAAATCGAAAAAAGTATGCCTCTGCATCTACTGTTTTTCTTGGAGCTCTTTCCATGCATCTACTGTTTTTTTCTATAACGACACCCGATTTTTAAAAATCGGACCTGACAACACTGCTACGGCCTCACGGTTCGCGCGTTCAAGGTCATTCACCCGCATTTATTGATACCAAAACTGGTTCAAGGCGTTTTATGTTCTGTAATTAACGTAATATTATATCGATTGCTTCCGTAAATCTGATTTGATTGCGTATTGCTAATTTCCGCTTCACCGTCTTACGTGGGTGGTAAAACTTTTTTTTTTGTGTTTTGCATTCGGATATAGAAAAATACTGAGACATAACATGACCTGAGCCACCAGTTTTCTTCATATTAATAAGGAAGGGTTTTTTATAAACTGTACCTAGCACGAACCAATATCGAATTCGAATAGTTTGCAAACCGAAATGTCAATGTCAAATTTTGTATGGAAACTTGAACAGCAGCGCCACAAAGTACGTAACGAGAACTAAAAATCAGAACACATTTGACAATGACATTTCGGACTCGCTAACTATTCGAATTCGATATTGGTTCGTACTAAGAGTACAGTACTATGTATATGGACTATAATAATATTATTATAAATATAAATACGTTGTATAATTTATTTATATTTACATAGAAATATTTCAAAATTACAAAATCTTAAAACTACTTAATGTCTAAAAACAAAAAAAACAAAAACAGTTATAACTAAGTACTTAAATAATATTTAATTATAATTTTTATTATTTTTAAAGCATGTAACTGCTTGATGTTTAAATCTAAAGAAAATATAACTAGAAAAAAATTCCACGCGGACCAGGCAGCAGACGGGACTCGAACCCGCACCCTTCGCAATCCGGGCGAATGCACTGACCAATTATGCTACCGCGGCCCTCACGGACCGCGTCGAAATTCTTTCTAGCTATTCTTAAGCTGCAAGGCAGCGCCATCTCTTCGCATTATAGGTAAACCCACAATGTCAAATGAATACTTTTACAAGTATTAAACATTTGAAAGAAGAAATAGCAATTATAGTTATAATTTTTATTATTTTTAAAGCATGTAACTGCTTGATGTTTAAATCTAAAGAAAATATAACTAGAAAAAAAAAAAAAAATTGTGGGTTTACCTATAATGCGAAGAGATGGCGCTGCCTTGCAGCTTAAGAATAGCTAGAAAGAATTTCGACGCGGTCCGTGAGGGCCGCGGTAGCATAATTGGTCAGTGCATTCGCCCGGATTGCGAAGGGTGCGGGTTCGAGTCCCGTCTGCTGCCTGGTCCGCGTGGAATTTTTTTTTTCTAGTTATATTTTCTTTAATATTTAATTTACAAAATTAAAAATACGTTTATTTATCTCTTTACAAATAATGACTTAAATCTAGATAAAGTAACCAGTTTATAGTTCAATAGTTAGGTATTTGTCAAGAGAATGCCACCTAAACTAAGCCGTGATTTTTATACCAAAATAATAAAAAAAAATCTAAAGAAAATTTTGCTACAAAAAAATCCACGCGGACCAGGCAGCAGACGGGACTCGAACCCGCACCCTTCGCTATCCGGGCGAATGCACTGACTATAATGCTTAGACCAGAATCATGGAAACATTTAGCAGTTATATGCTTAAAAAATATATAATAATTAGCGGCCCGCCCTCGCCTCGCTTCGGTGTAGAGCTGAAGTGTAGACTACAGTTTTTGTTCTCAGGCTTGTATTATACACAATGACATTCATCTATGATTCTTCTTATACCTGCATGCAAAGTCTCAGCCCGATCGGTTTGAAATTGACAAAGTTTCATACAAACTTTCATTCCCTATTTTATCCCCTTGGGGGTAAATTTGATCAAAATCCTTTCTTAGCGGATGCCTACGTCATAACATCTACCTGCATGCCAAATTTCAGCCCGATCCGTTTAGTGGTTTGGGCTGTGCGTTGATAGATCACTATGTCAGTCAGTCACGTTTGAGTTTTATATATGTATATAAAAAAATATATAATAATAAAATAATATTAACACAGCAACATTTCTTCTTTTCAGAGCCAAAATGGGGGTGACGCAGTTTTTAATTTTGTCCCAGCTGGTCTATTTGACCACCTGCATGGACCAGCTGCACATAATGTACGAATGGAAACAGCTGGACTATCAGTTCCCCAACGACGAGGCGAGGCAGCAAGCTTTGGATTCCAAGAGTTTCGTGCCAGAGAACAACATACCGATGGGTCTGGAGGTGTATGAAGATAGGCTGTTCATAACGGTCCCAAGGTGGAGGCATGGAGTGCCCTCCAGCTTGAATTATGTCAACTTGAAAGGTGAGAACTTTTCGGTGATTAGAAACACACGCTCGTTTTTTGTTCTGAGTTAAAGTAGCTTAACAAATCGATTAAGTGGGTTAAGTTAGGCTAGATTCGAAAATTTTACTGGAACGTCGAAATCAGGTTAGGTTAGATCTGCTGAATAGGTATGCATATTTTTGGAGTTTACTCCTTAAGAATCGATTTGCATATATAAGGGGCCCGGTATGAGAAAAATGTGAGGAATAATATCTATCGTTGAATGACATTAATGACCTCGTTACGTTTTTGTGCGCAACCTCATCTGCGCACCTTTCACTTTTAGCCATGGCAACGGATAAAAAACATAAAGTTGTCACAAATGTCAATAAAATAAATAAACTAAAAATAGATAAAATCAGAGCAAAATTAATGAAAACAAATAAATAACAGAATATAGAGAAATGCCGGTAAGTGTCCAGCACTCTGGAATAGTGATTTTCAGTACAGATGGAATTATAATACATATTTACAAAATGATGACTAGTGTGTGATATTTTTGATATTGTGTGTTTCCAGAAATACATAATAAAATATATGATGAATATCGCTGATGTTAGATGATAAAATGTGTGACATGGAACCTATGATAGTCGAAACCATGGGACGATTCCTGAGGTATCTCTACTTGTAACCAACTTCTTCGGACTTGATTTTGTTTTTTGCCTGTTCAAAGACAATCGTTTTAAGAGTGTAAACTCCGGTCGCGCGTCGGAGCTGACACACACAATTTTTTTCATTTTTAGGGTAACGTACCTCGAAAGAAAAAAACGGAACCCTTATAGGATCACTTTGTTGTCCGTCCGCCCGCTTGTCAAGACCCTTTTTCTCAGGAACGTCTACCCTGACCCAATCCCGTACCCCGTGGAGCCCTGGAACCATTAAGACTTCATCGTAGTGGTCTAAATTTTTATATTTAATCGTCAGGTTTAATTTAGTCTTGAGACTGTTGTCGAAACCAATTAATTCTGTAGGTATACATATAACAGTATTTCAAATATGAATATCTGTTATGTTTTTACAAGGTTTTTACGGTCAACTTGTTCAAGCGGAATTTTAATTAATTTTTAGTAGGAATTACAATTAAGCGTAAGCATAGAGTAATTGATCAGAATGTTTTATGACATAGGGTAGGTAGGTACCTACCCTGGTGCCAAAAAAATGTAGTTTTTTGGCAAATTTAAAATCTAAAACCTTTTAGTGTCGATGAATTTTTAAATGATAGATCCTAGCAATAATTGGACTGATTAATTTTTTTTTTTATAATATTGATTGACTATTAATTTATTAATTCATATTTTTTTTTGTTTATTATTTGTATTTGACATTTGTATGTTTACATATTTGTATTTGACATTTTGAATTTTTTCTAAGGAAAAATATTGTATTTTAATTGTTTTGACTCCGTAATTTACTTTTATATAGTTAGAAATCGACATGTGAATTGTATTTTTGACATATTGAATTAATTGATTGATTACTTAGTACTTTATGTATTTCTGTTCTGTTTATTATTGACGTGTAATTTATTACGAAATAAATGATTATGATTATTATGATTAAGGTGTGTGGGTGTTTGAGAATTAATATAATGTAATACAAGTTATTAACGCACGTGATGAAGCGGTCTTTATTTAATAGAGGAAAGCCAGGTCTTTATTCTTTATTCGGTCTTTATTTAATAGAGTTCATTTTACAAAATTGTTCAACTCCCCCACCTGCGGGTCAATGATGCTTTAGTGATTTAATCTTAATGTGATGTCAATTTGATGTTGAAGCCAAGTTGACATTGTTTTTAAACGGTATTATGAAACATTCCTATGTCACATCAAGATCATATCAATATCATATCCTGTATCACATTTTTGACGTCAAAAAGTTGAACGTAATACGCATTTAAGTTGATATCATTTTAAAGAGTTGACCATAATACGCATAAGTTGATGTCTAGTTGATGTCATTTTGATATCGCATTTTTCGGAGAGCATAATACGTAATGTGAAATTGATATCAAAACAATATCACAATTAGCGAGCATAATTGGCCTGCTGGGCAAGTCTTACGCCAATCACAACAAAACATTCTCGCATGTGACCTATGAACGAATTGCTTTGACGTTTTGCTTGCGCCAAATTTAAATACAATTTTTAATTCTGGCTTAATCTCCCGGTTTTCCCCTATTTCGTCGTTATCAGCGTATTAATAAATTAAATTAATTCTATTCTATTCTATAATCCCCACTGCTGGAACACAGGATTTCCTAACGAACAGTACCCTTAGTATGAGTTTTACAATTACGAAAACTATGATAGTTTTCGAAAGCTCGCACTCGTACTAAGGGTACTGATTTTATTGTTTTCGTTTCAATACAAATAAACAGTGTTTAAATTCTATCATTAAATCATTTGCGTCTTCTTAAATTTTTAGTATATTTGGTTACTTTTCACCAAAATGGACATTGAATGAAACATAATTTACAATTACGAAAACTATGATTAATGTTTTAATGAGCTCAAACTCGTACTAAGGGTACAATACAGTAAAGGGGCAAAAGGGGAGTTCAAAATTTGTATGTGTTACTTAACTTACATTATATTTCCACGCAGACGAAGTCGCAGCACCCACTAGTTTACGAGAATAAAAGAATAAGGAGGTTTTTCTTTGGAACGTGTGATGTAATCTGTAGAATAAATTCAAACATTTATTCAAAAATTAGCTTTGAGCTTGAGACTAATTAATTAAGTTCAATAGAAAGTAGGCGAAAGCAGCGATCGCGGCATTATAATAAAAAGGCTTAATTTCTTGTTAAATAATCATAAACGACTTTGCTTAAATATATTATGCTGCTCGATTGATTAATATCTTTACATCTTCGAACCAGTATGGTCCTCTATCCGGGCGGACTTTGTTTAAAATTTCTCTTAGTGTCGCCGCACACGGGCCACACACCACAGCCATAAACGCCGTAACGAGAATCTAGAATCGGCTACTAAAGGCTTACGCAGACCGGGACGGCATGGCAAGGGATTTTGCCGTGAATCCGCGCACACTGGCTGCTTAGATACCGCGGCATTCCAGCACTATGCCACGGCATGCCACGGCGTGCCGCGGCACGACAAAGCACGCTTCAGCGACTCCTGCTGCCGATACACTTTTAGTCTTCAGTTGCGTCTGATCGAGTGTTGGTGTGCCTCAGTTTTAAAATGGTAGATTGGGATTTGGTTTTAATATCGATTATTGCAGATGAAGAAGAAGGTGCATAGGCTAATAATAGGGATAGAAGAAGATTTTGGGTTGATAATCTATGGAAAGAAAGGGAATCAAAGGGTGAATTCCTCGCTTCTCTACCCCCGCCGCCGCACCCCGCAGTATATCACTACGAGCGCCGGAGTCCGTGGCATGCCGTTGCCTACCGCAGAATGCCATGGCATCCCGCCACGGGAGCCTGTTGCACGTCTTTTAATGCCGTGCGATAAAATCCCTTCCAATGCCACGGCATCATTTTAAAGCATAGCAATTTATGTTGTATTTCTGTAACAGTACGGTTGAATATCCATTAGTAAAAATTTAAATCCCTTGCCATGCCGTCCCGGTCTGCGCAGGCCTTAAAGTGGCTGAAGCTCGCGACCGCGGCCGACTAAGGTAAGGGAGAGAGGGGTGGGGAATCGCGCGAGTGACGTGTGGCGGCGTTTTGTATCGGCGCAATAAGTGGCCGGTGCGGGCAACAAGCATCGAGCAACGACGATTTGTAGCGTGTGGCGGCCACCGGCGTACCGTGTGTGGCGAGTCCATATAAGATGTATGAAAACTACAAGAAATATGCCGGTGGCGGCGTTTTGTGGTTGTAGTCGGTTGCCCGTGTGCGGCGACTATTGCGATTCATTATTAAGAAATAACATAAAAATAAAGAACTTGAGGAGCTCGATGGCGCAAGTGGTTAGCGCGTTCGGCTGCGATCGTTGAATTTAAGCAACTTTCGCATTGGATGGGTGACCAAAAATCTTCTATCTCGAGTTTCTCCGTGCTTCGGAAGGCACGTTAAGCCGTTGGTCCCGGCTGCATCTGCAGTCGTTAGCACCCGCCAATCCGCATTGGGCCCGCGTGGTGGGTCATGGCCCTATCTCCCTATTCCATCCATAGGGAAGGCCTGTGCTTCAGCAGTGGAGACATTAATAGGCTGATCATCATGATGATATGTATCTCAACTAGAATACCTAAATCAAAGTCAAACTGTGTCTCAAATTACAAAAAATCGATATTATTATCATTTTTAAATACGAATGATAACCGCCGATTTTCTCCCAGGCGGGGGAGGAAACGAAAAAAAAACCATAAACAAAAAAAAAATAAGAAATTTTCATAAACCTTAGTTGAACGACTATTACTCTAAAACTAACAAATCTATTTGAACCGTTACAATTTTCCTTAAAAGTTCATGAAAAACACTATTATCATGATTTTTGTTGAGCACTTTAAAGTTCAATATTTCGTTAACAGATCCCTAAATCGGAAAATAGTCTTAGGGGCCCTAAGTAATTTTAAAGGACCTATTCAACGATATCCCACATAGGTAGATGATCAATAAAAATCATCCCCAGGTTACATAATTGATAAACATATCTCCACAAAATTACAGCTCTGTAGTGCTAACAGTCAACAACTATAAGGGAAGCAACCCTTATAGTTTCGTCATGTCCGTCTGTCTGTGCGTCCCCGGTTTTTCTTGGAGACTGTTAGCACTAGAGAGCTGTAATTATGTAGAGATATGTTTATCAATCACACCGCCAAATGTGTATAATAAAATTTTGAAAAAAATATTTCAAAATTCAAAATTCAATATCGTTTATTCAGTCTAGGCTGTTACAAGCACTTGTGAATGTCGAAAAGCTACACCATCGGTTCGCAAATCTACGGCGGGAGACCTTGTACTGAGAAGAACCGACAAGAAACTCAGCAAGGGCCGTTTTTTTCTCCCTGTATTATATATAGAGTCGTCAAATCGAAAAATGACTTCAATATGAGGTAACTCATATAGTCACTTTCCATTACAAATCCAAATTATATGTCAGCACTACGGAACCCTATAATCAGGTAGGTTTTTTTATTGAAGTTATACTTCTTTAGCCGCGTTATGAAAAAATTATGATAGTGAAATTTTAAGATGCGCGCGCATCACTGTAACACAATAGTAACACCATGAAGTTGGCCGCGGGCGCGTTATGAATGTTAGTGTCTAATAATGGTGGATTATTAACCACTTAGTGGTTAATAATCCACCATTATTAGACATCTGTTCGAAAGGTACTTTGAACGATCCACGGAGCTCCATAAGATGATCGCGTTGTCAAAAACAATGTTGGCACGCTCGTCGCCTCTGATCACTGTTTTCATATTTATAATATTTATCCACATGTTTCTAGTTTCACAACGTGTTTTAGTTACTTAGAAGTGCTAATTACATATGGACTAATAACTTAAATTCAGTAGTGATTTTAATTGAATATTTTGAATATTTATTTAATTTTTCAAATTAAAACTGAACTTAATTGACTGTGTTAACTATCCTTTTCCAGTCCTTTTATTATTTTATTGTAATTATTAATTATTTGCATGCAATTAAAAAATATTTTTAATGATGCTAAAGAAGTATAACTTCTCACGCGTGTAACTTATGTACGCGCGTGAGAAGTTATACTTCTTTAGCATCATTAAAAATATTTTTTAATTGCATGCAAATAATTAATAATTACAATAAAATAATAAAAGGACTGGAAAAGGATAGTTAACACAGTCAATTAAGTTCAGTTTTAATTTGAAAAATTAAATAAATATTCATTTTTTTATTGAGATTACATGACACGGACCCATAATAAGTATTTTTATAACCTTTCACAAAATCATTTCCAATTGGTTCGACTTCCACGGTCGTTTAGCAATATCCGCTGCATACTTCCGCAAGCTGTACGCCTGCAGCCTTCTAGAAGGTCCCAAGTTCAATGGCGACGGGTTTTAAGTCAAAATGAAAGTTCGGCATGTGCTTAAGGATAAATATCAGACGTGCTATTAATAGTAAAATTTTCCAGTGTCTACTATAGTAGAGAATTAATTGGATTTTAATGCTCTGGTTTTCCTGCAGCAGCGAAGATTTTTTTTCTAATCTCATCATAATTTTCGACGTGATCAAAACCCAAAATAATGAAAACCACTGTATAACACCATAGCTGTTCTCAACGCCTTATAGTGGAGACTTGCTGTGAACATTCGTAAAACAAAATCGTATATGGTCTATTGAAAATCATGTCAATCCAGCAGATATAATAAGAGCATCTCTGGCAACTCTGTTGTTGTGATAAGCCACAGTGAAAATCATAAAAACCATTGAACATGAACGAACACGTTGAATATTGAAAATGTTCATGAGTTAAGTTCACTTTGACAGCAACATACAATTCCCGAAAAGATACCTTTTTTGTACTGTATGTCATGTCCTTATATATTAAAAAAAACCCGCAAATTGAAAAGAACATGTTCCCAAAGAGTTCCATTTTCGAATTCCGTATTTTTTTTTCATTCTTCTATTGCTGGAGGCTAGATCCAGAACCTGTCAGAATGCCTCACGTGACTTCGCTGAAAAGTAACTTACAGAAGCCCCTAAAAACTTACTCAGGTGGCACTTGCAACAGTGCCTTGCATTGCGTATGTTTATTACTATAATGCTTATCCAACACTATTAACATTGTTATTCTTATAACACACCTGCGCGACGAACCATTGGTTCGTAACCGTAAGTCTCCACAAGCTATTTTATGAGTGTCAAAATCGGCAGTCAAATTTGGTCTACCTCGAGCTCAATGATTTATTATGTAAGAAGTAAATTCTAATTACAAACGCAAATTTAAGTCTATAATATTAACAAAGTTAAGTTTCATAGTTTATCATAATACCTATGTGTTGTATGTGAACTAGGAAAACAGCCGACTAGCAAAACCTAGAGGTGTAAAGACAAAACTCGCAGAAATCTCATAATTTCACTTTAGTCAATACATTTTACGAGTCGCAGTGAAAGTCACGTCACTGTTTGCACAAACAACAGGATGACTGCGTTGTTTTCTATTCTAGTCATGTGTCAAGTTTATAATTATTATTATCATAACATTGAAAACAAAGTTCAGACTAACTTTACGTTAATGTGTTTTCCTTAAAACGATTTCAATGAGATCACCCTCGAGAATCGACCTGTGACTCACGCAAGCAGAATATACAAAAGAAACTATCGAGAATTAATTTAGGTGTCAATATTTTGGTTTTATCAATTCAATTGTTTTCAAAAGTTTCAACTGATTTTTATTTCATTGCATGAATTAAATTAGAATTGCTATGGTTATTTGGAGTTTAGGACTGACACACTTTTATAAATGGCTTCGAATAATAGTTACCTATGTATTTAAATTCTTCATTGATATCAAAATATGTCATTAATGTATCCCTTTTTGTAAGTGGCATATTTAAGTGAATGACAATAATTATTTTGCTGCTCTCTTTAACTATACCTGTTAAATAAATTTTAAGGTTTGTCGCAACATCAACAAATGCTAAATATTTTGAACTTTACCCAACACGGTGACACTTTCAAACGCTTAAGCATCTGTCGTAATACTCAAACAGGGCAAATGTCGAAAGATCAATTTTCTACTCACTGCGCAAATGATAATATCTTTTTTGGATAACTTCTAGTCATCAAGACGATGAAACTAAATATTACGCTTTTCTCTTGTTTGCAGACAACTCTACCACATCACCGAAGCTAATACCATATCCCAGTTGGGCGGCGCACACCACTGGCCTGGACGGTAAACCTTCGGAAATCATCTCCCCTTTTCGAGTCCGTGCTGACAAGTGCGGTCGCCTCTGGGTCTTGGACAACGGCAAAATTGGCAACCTGGAGAACAACACCACCAAATATCCACCCTCCATCATCATTTACGATCTCAGAACGGACAGCCTCATCAGGAAATACATGATCCCCGATGACCAAGTCAAAGAAGATTCAGGGTTTGCTAACATAGCGGTTGAAGATACCGACTGTGCAAACACTTATGCATACGCAGGAGATTTAGGAAAACCAGGCATCGTGGTTTACTCATTCGGTAAAAACGAATCTTGGAGGATAACACATCACTACTTCCACCCAGATCCTCTCGCCTGCGACTTCAGCGTCAAAGGCTACAATTTCAGCTGGACCGACGCTATCTTCGGCATCGGGATCTCCGCACCAAACCCTGATAACTTCAGCACTCTCTATTTCCATCCTATGGCGAGCTACAACGAATTCTCTGTGTCCACTGAGTATTTGAGAAACCAGTCTGTCGCCGATGATAATTTTGAAGCGTTCAAAGTGTTGGGCAGTCGTGGACCAAATGCTCAGTCCAGTGTGTCCTTTGTAGATCCTAAAACTGGTGTCCTATTCTACTCTTTGGTCAACCTCAATGCCGTTGCTTGTTGGAGGACATCCAACAAAGACTACAATATGAAGAATCAAGGCAGAATTTACATGAACGAAGAAACGATGATCTATCCAACGGACATAAAAGTGGACTATGACGATAATTTATGGATTCTTTCAAACCGAATGCCCATTTGGATGTACGGGAAATTGAACTCTAGTGAGTTTAACTTTAGGGTGTTCTCAGCGCCTGTTTTGGATGCGATCAGCCATACCGCCTGCGATATTACACCCAGATCTGACATACTCGATAAATATAAGGACAAGTTCTTGAACATTACCAACAAAATTGCGTCTAAGTTTAAGCCGAATTCCGCCACTTCTTTCTATCCTCTTTCATATTCTTTCCTGCTTGTCAGCTGGATCATAGCTTGTAGTTTATATTAAGAACGTTCTGTGCTTTTCTGTGTATATCAACATTTGTGTTTTTAATTTAACGTGATGTCAAAGACGTTACCGCTTTATTTATTGTGATGGATAGCCATTGTTGGTCCTGTACTTAAGAGTTAAGTAGTGCCTTCAAAAGTGATATTGTATTTGTAAATTACCTAATAAGTATTGCGTATTACAATGTAAATATCTAACTTAGTTTTTATTAAAGTTTTTATTTAAGCTTTTGTAGACTTTCAATGTTTAGTTGACCTTAAATGATAAAATTAAACAATACAATATCCTCTGTGCAATTGTCTAGGCTTCTGAATGGACTTCGATTTACCAAAGTCCTGTTTCAATGAATAAAGGTAGATGGCGATGAGCAGAGGGCGACAGGCCATTTTTTTCTCCATTACTTTAATTCTCGTGTTATGTTGTTGTTTGTCATTGCTCGCGTGGTGGGTATTGGCCCAATCTCCCTATTCCATCCATAGGGAAGGCCTGTGCCCCAGCAGTGGGGACATTAAGAGGCTGATGATGAAATGTTTCTCATTGTAACGAACATAGTCAATGTTCGTTTTTCACATATCATGATCATAATATCGACAGTGGAAAATCAAAATCGCTTAACCGCCAATTTTGCCTTAGACGCTGCAGTATTTTGAAATAGAAGATATACAGACATATAGAGACATCATATCAACGGTGTCGATTCCGACATGATTCTCTAAACCTAAACTTAAATTTGACAACAGTGTATCCTTGTCATTCTCTACACAGTTTCAAAAGAAGAGATTGATGTTAAATTTAGTTTTAAGTTTAGAGAATCATGCCAGAATCGACACCAATGTCGGCCGTTCTAGCAACATTTCTCGATCTACCTCTTTCTGAAAATCGGTCTAGATTTTCTGTTCCAGATTAACAAATCGTTTACAACTTTCAGGTCACTAGAGTTACTTTTTCTCTTAGAGGAATGGGCACAATACGGAGTATGATATTAGATTTGTCTTGCCCATATATTCATTTTAAAAGATTTTTGTTCAGAGACCCTATTAAAGTCTTCGAATATTGTGTCGAATTCCTCTTACGCCTATGCTATCTATAATCACGAGAGTGAATCGAAGGTTAATGAGATATTTGCCACATATGTTAATACCGAGTTCATCCAGGCCAGAAATTTGAAGGCATCTTCTAGAACATCAGTGAATTCTGCTTCACTCCCCATTGCACTTGTATAGTTATTGCATCAGGGGCCCAGAAAGTAACTGACATGCTGGCGTTTTCGTTTAAACGTATGATACGTACGTCAAAACCTACAAGTTAATAATATGTCATCTCTCGGATCGAAATCACAGCAAGTTCCAAAATACAATGAATGACTATTATCAGATATCAGCCATCCTATTAATGTCCCCATTGCTGGGGCCTTCCCAATGCATGGAATAGGGAGATTGGGCCATGACTTACCACGCGGGCCCAGTGCGGATTGGCAGGTGTTAACGACTGCAGATGAAGCCAGGACCAACGGCTTAACGTGCCTTCCGATGCACGGAGGAACTCGAGATAGAAAATTTTTGGTCACCCAATGACCGACCACTGCGAAAGTTGCTTAACTTCAACGATCGCAACCGAACGCGCTAACCACCTGCGCCATCGAGCTCCTCATAATGAATGACTTTATGAGTCCTCAAAAGCTGATAGTCCTGAAAAGTCTATAGTGGCTATATGTATATATGTTATGGGCTAAGTGGTTAATCGGGCATTATTCATAATGCCCGGGCAAAATGAATAATGCCCAATAAGAGTGGGCAATGTGATTATAACCAATCAATTTATCACATTGCCCGGGTATTATGAATAAGGCCAAGTGCCTATTGGGCAGAGTGATGTAAAACATGTTTAATACTTTCAAATGAATACTTAGTTAGATAGGCCGAGCATTACAAGTAATGAAATTAATTATCGTATAGAGTAATAATAAAAATATGTTTTATAGTTTACTATTTATTTTTAAAATTTAAATAATCACACTTCGGTTTTATTTCGATCAATTTACGAAGAGCTACATTTAGAAACTATAGTAGTTTCAATGCAACACTGCATTGTTTAAAAAAATATTCATTAAATCTGTTAAATGTTCAGAATTTTTCGTTCCCTATATTTTAGGATGCAAGGACTAGGGAAGTAGGAACTAGTACTTCTGCCTTATCTCCGGCGCTTCGGGAATAGCAGCCCCTCCGCCTTTGCGTGACAAAGTCACAAACATCACTCCTCTTCACACCTTCGGCTTGTTGATCGCCACCTCCGGCGGCGACCAGCCTCAGGCGCTGCAGGTCGCACGATTCTTGCGGCTTTGTCACAGCAGGTGGGGGCTGCTCTCCCTCCGCGCCTCCGAACTCTAAAAACACTCTAGGGGTAGGGTAGACCAAGACCACCACGGCGTGTCGGGGTTGACCAAGTCGGTTCTGAATTAAAGACTGTTGTTGCCACACTTACCTTTTTTTCAGGGGTTTAAGTGTTGAGCCCATACTATTTTTTATTTACCAAGATTTCAAACCAAACTTAGCTTAGCATTATTATTAATGACCGGGCAATGTGATAAATAGGTGAGTTTAGATTTTAATTAATCACTTGGCCCGATATGGCTGGGCATTATTCATACTGACCTGGCATTATGAATACTGCCCGCATTAATCACTTGGGCCCATAACATATATACTCCTCCGACTTAATATGGATTAATATAGAAATTTCGTTTCCAGCAGTAGTATTTTTTTACTCTGAGATTTAAATTAATTTACAAAGAAAAACGTCATTTATATTTGTTTTTCATATAAATGATAACAATATTAAGATTTGGTGTATTAGATTCAGCTTTAGTGGTTTAGGTTTAAGCTTTGGTCCCGGGGGTCCCTCGCTGACCGGCATGGCGCTGGCCGTGCCGGCCACCGAAAGACCCCGTGACGGCAGCCCTCCCTTGTAGTTCTGTCCTGCAAAGAGGGGGGCCGCGGAGGGAGCTACACGGGCACGCCCAAGTAGCCCTCCGCAGCGGACGGGGGGCGGTACGGTGGGCACTAGGCCGCGTACTCAGCCCCCATGCGCGGGCCATCCTGCGCACGTCTGCGGGGTCCCCGCGATACCCCGGGAGACCCCTGCCGTGGAGCCCCAGCTAGACAGGGAGGCTGCTAGGTGCGGAGACGCGGAAGAATCCCTAAACGGGGATCCCGCAGCTCCGTGCTAAGCAGCTTAGAGGGTATTCGCAGGACTTTTTTAGCGGATATTATACCGTAAAGCGCCCGTAAGAGTTGCGAGGTCCTTGGTGGGCAGCCACTGGGGGGTTCGTAAGACTTGCGGGAGCCAGGTGTGAGGTCCGTTCGGCGGTGTGCCTCTTAAAGGCCCCGTCGTCTGTAAATAGATTGTATACCTGCGTATTAGAAAAAAAAAGGTTTAAGCTTTGGTGGACAAATTTCAGTTTTGGTGGCAATGCAAAACTTTGGATGTAAATTACTCGGTGATTATTGCTACGATTCTCGGAGAAATAAGAACGTTAGCCTTGTTAGTTTTAAAAAATAAAAAAATTAGCGCACTCAAATCACGCATGGCTGAGTCAGTGTCGCTGAACGATTATTATCTTTGATAGCTCTTGTCGCTCAGCGACTAAGGGGCCGTTCAAGTATTACGTAAGCAGATTTATTACAATTATTTACCCCTCCTCCCCCTTGTCAGCAAAAGTAAGCAAAGTTCTAACTCCCCTCTCCCGTGCTTACGTAAACATTGGTACCTACATGCATTTTTCCTTTAATGTATTCTGTTTTTTTTATTCATTCATGAGCTTCATGAGCAGCTGTACTTAAATAGGCTTAGAATAGAGGACTTTAACGCACATAATATTCATTGAAACAAATTTTATTGTCACAATATTCAACATTGAGTAAGGTCCTATTACGAACAAAACCAATTTCTTTCGAATTTTTACAATCTTCAGTCCATGACACCCGAATCCATGATGCTGACGTAATCAGTATCTCGACCCCCCACCCCCCATGTCATCAAAAATAAGCAACTGCCCCCCTATGGTGCTTACGTAATACTTGAACGGCCCCTAACTAGTGGAGAGAGTTCTCGCAGGCAGTGTGAACAGTCAGTGATCAACTATTAATTTAAGCATCTCTTTTGTTTACACGGAAGATATCTATTGTAGGTACGTTTCTTGAGCAAGAAAGCAGCCGATAATTAATCGTTTTTTCACCGGCGATGGGATAACTGCCTTGATTTTCTTGTAAATTTTAGACACTAAGGCTATCTAGCGAAAACGGTATGAGACGACCTCTGTGGCCGAGTGTTATGTATGTCGGCTACTGACCTCGAAAGGTCACGGGTTCGAGTCCCGGTGGGGGCTGAGATGTTTGTGAGATGAATACTAGCATTTGTACTCCAGTCATGGATGGATATAAATATACTTATATGTATTTGTACCAGTATACGTATTCTACCCGTTGCCCTAGTATTCCATAACACAAGCCCCAGTGATCATTTTGTGGCTAGGCTAATTGGTGTGGGTGTTGAAAATATTTATTTTACTTTACTTATTTTTTTACTGGCCCGCTATGTCCCGAGTGAAGTGAATAAATACTAACACTACGAAGTCGAAACGAGAAAACTTTAAAACCATATATATGTTTATATTTACGCTTCTTAGAGATTAGGCTGAATCGTAATGAATGAACGCCAAACATGATCGCGACCTCTTGCGACACTTTACAGAATATATTGTGAGAAGTTTCCACCATCATTCAATAGATGGCTCCAGTGGAAAACAAGAATAATCATACAATGAGGGCTATCGCGTATGAATCCGCCGCTAGAGGCGCTAGTGTAGCGTGAAGTCTCCGAAATGTCCAATGTTATTGCTTGTTGGTTGACTACGCGGGTTTATTTCTAATTAAAATAACGTTGTGAATAATTGGTAACAATTCGGCTTAATTATGGCAAATATGAGTTATGTGGCAATGAATGTCAGTTATTAAAAATTTGAGCTTAGAAAAATGATTATGTTCCCATTTTTTCCGAATAAAACGGAACTGCGCGTCACTGTGGCATGGCCTATTATGTTTAGGATATGGTTCTTTTGTGTTAAAATACGATCTAAATGTAACATTTGATTTCATGTGCGTATTAATAAACTTTAAAAGTTACAATTTAGGACCTCACTCAACAGTGGCACCATCTGGTGAGGCAGAAAACGGTAGCCCTCATTTACGCATTATACACATTTTAACATACTCCTTCTCCTACCCTTTTCAATAAGGTTTTATAAAAAACCACATGATTCTTTGAAAAAAAACAAACTATGAGCCCTACACAACTAGCAATAGCTTTAGGTTATTGCTGTGGTATACTCAGATCAAATATTTTTGTTTGATCTGAGGTGGTAGCAAACATGTTACAAGTGACATGTTAAATTTAAACATGCAATGCTAATATGTATAATGCGATTCAAATAAGAATAGGAAAGCCAATGACCTCTATCTGTCAAATGTCGCTTGAAAAGTACGGTTTGCAAAAAAAACCTTGAACCCATTTTTAGCACTCCGCTAATTCAAGAATAAAAACCAAACATTTGTATGTAAACAAACAATAACAAATATTGTTAATTAATATCGGTTAATATTTTTTTTTCACTTATTGAGCTTTGGCCATGAATGGTTGATAACCTAAATCGTCAACCAAATGTCACTTTAAGTTGCGTTCAGAAACTCGATTTCAAACTTTCGTTTACATAAAGGATGCATGTTCGTATGTAACCTAGTAATATTGCATGATTATTCATAACTACTCTGGCGGTAATACAGAGATGAGCGGAATAGAAGAGCTAGATTCTGATTAATGTTTTTTCTAACATTCTTAATAAATAAATATTATTAAAAGCGGTGGTTTTTGTTTTCTTAATCTTAGTAAATAAATGTTATTAAAAAATTCTGATGCTTTTTCTCACTTAATCTTAGTAAATCAGTTTTATTAAATAAAAACTTTTTTTGCTCACTCTACCTATTTGGTTTGAATTGACAGCTATGACATCACAATATGGCGTCCAGTCGGTCCTATTCTTATCGAAGGATCTTATATAATTTATTAATGATATGGCAGTATTTATTGCATTTGCAGCTGATGTAGAAGTATCTTTTTCTGGTTTTCTCTACAAACATTATTTATTGAAATCCTTTGCCTACTGCGTTTCTTACCTTGTTTAAAATATAGATTACCAATTGGGCACATTATTGAATCCTATCCTTACTATTATGAATGTGAAAGTTTGTTTGTTTGTATATTTGCTACTCAATCACGCAAAAACTACATAACGGATTTGGATGAAATTTGATACACCTATAGCTTATGATCTTGGTTGAGACATAGGGAACTTTTTACCACGGAGAAATTTTAGATTCCTGTGGGAATCCAAAAAAAATAAAGTTAACACGGACAAAGTCGCGGGTGGCCGCTAGTAATCACCATATTGTTTTGTATTATAAAGCACTACCTGTCATATAATAATGGGCATATATCATTGATCTTAATATTCACCGGTGTACCTTTATGGTGTAATAAATTATGCAAATGTCCAATTTGCCTGATAACTGGTCAAGTGCAATATTTACGGATGCCATAAAATTGACCCTTGTTTTCTTATCATCCATTTGTAGTTTAGTTTTATACAAACTGGCACACTGTAATGTTGATTAATAAACATAATTGGAAAATGAATAAGAACTCAAATGAAGTCGATTCAAAGGTAAGTGTTCTACGGTTCTATCTAATATTGCCTGTGATTTTTTAAGTTTATACGATCAAAAGAGGTGACAGTCCACTTGATGGAAAGTGGTCACTGCCATCCGTGGACATTTGCATCACCAAGGGTACCTCTCTCGGCTCTGAAGAAAGGGTTTACCCTAGGGTTGCCAACCTCAAATTTAAAAAACCAGGATTTGAAGTTGGAAAAACCAGGACAATTCCGTTTTTTAAACAGGACGCATTAATAGAGGTGCGATAGTTAAATAAATATCTAGTGAAAACAGGCGAAATGAAATTCAAGTAATTAAAATAATCACATGTAGCGTAAAAAATTGAGAAGAGGCGCACGAAGTTTATAAATTTAAAAACCCAGGACGCTGCCTAAAATCTATTTAGGACGCCCCAGGACACTACAAAAACTAGGACATGTCCTGGGAAAACAGGACGGTTGGCAACCCTAGTTTACCCGCCTTTTGAAACCCATTGAATCATATAGATATCATATAGATAGTGCAGCGGCGCGCTGCCCGCATCATTGGCGATGAAGAGGTAACTAAGAAACTCGAGTCTCTAGAATTACGGCGTGATCTGGCATCATTAAGCGTATTCTACCAACTATACCACGGCGAGTGTTCTGAGGAGCTATTCTTGCTTATCCCTCCATCACCTTTTCTTCAGAGGACCACGCGCGCTGGCCTACGTTGTCACCGACTCACTGTAGCCACTATTCCTACACGAACAAAGAAATTTGGTGACTCATTTCTTTGTCGTACTATTCGTAAGTGGAATTCTTTACCCACGCACGTGTTCCCTCCTTCCTATAATCTGGGGTTAAGAGAGGCGTGAAGAAGCATTTTTGCGGGCCGGCAAGGTGAGCATGGTTGGTGTAGCAGTTTATAACTGCTGTACCAGCTATCTTCGCGTTTGGACTTTATCACCACTTAAAATCAGGTGGGGTAGAGTCATTTGCCTACCTAGTTATATAAAAAATAAAAAAATAGCTAACATGGAAAACCGATGAGGTAAGTTCGTTCCAGAACTTGCTTGCTATAATAATATGCTAGATGTGTCCAAAAGTGTATTTTTTATTTTAATTTTTTTAATTTATTCCTTAGGCGGACGGGTTGTTACCTACATTCAAGGAGAAATGTGTGTCATGTATCAAAGGTCCAAACTTGGCCAAAACCATAGTTGTCGCCATCTGCTTCGGCGTCCTCGTACAACAAGTAAGCAATAAACAATTAATACATATTAAACATTATTTGAACAACATTTGAAAATAAAAATGTTGCTTTTCTTTGCCATAAATCAGGCAATAACTACATATAAAGGTAAGCTAGTTTTGGGGTTTCATAGTTCTGACAAGGAACCATTATCGTTTCGTCATGTCCGTCTGTCCGTCCCCTGTTTTGCTTGGTAATAGTCTCCAACTAGCATAGCATAGTAGGACTAGTACTAGAGAGCTGCAATTTTGTGGAGATATGTGAATCGATCACGCCGACAAAATGGTAGAATCATTTTAAAATCAAATTTTTGGGGGATACTGTAGATTTTATAGGTCAGAGGAGCTGAATAAAATACGGAATCACAGTGACGAATGATACTTATATTCTGTGAAATATATTTGTATTGTTATTGCAAATACATATTGGGGGCAGCCGATATATGTAATTAAAACGATTGAAAAAGGGGCTGCAACGAGATAACGATTAATACACAACTACGAATGGGTTTGCTAAAAGCGTAACGTACTCACGTTTGAAACCTTTGTCGCAAGCTTGTGGTCCGCGTATTCTTCTAGCTAGAAGGGCACATTAACAGCACACACAGTCACAGAAGAAATTCACAGTTTATTGTTGACGAATTCCACTTGTTTGGTATACCGCACGTAAATATAAGGGTTATATGATGTTAGCGAGTGCGCGGGCGCGGAACGGAGTGACGTAGGCCCTCTCGCGTGATCAGTGGCTAACTGTCTGCGTTAGGCTAGTAAAAAACCACATTCGCAGATGCATCGCTCTCGTTGCGAACCTACCCACATTTAAAAAAAATAATAAATCAGTAACCACGATTAAGTGATAACGGAACATTCCGCCCACCAAAAATACGTTAAAGTATTTTTCGATATAGAATAAAACGATTTATACGAAAATTCAGAATTAAGATTTTATTACGAAAGGCATATGAACTAATTTCTAAACTAAAACTATTTATAATTATTTAGGTTTAATAACTACAGCGCATTAGTCACATTGGTTAGGTAAAGGACATAGCTTTACCAAAGGTCTCGTAAGACGAGAGCCATCGATAGTTTTAACGGTAGCTATACGGACAATTCCATCAGGACTAGTATGTAACACCTCTACTCGGGCCAAAGGCCAATGCAATGGTAACGTATTATCGGTTTTAAGAATAACTACGGATCCTACTTCTAATGGTTTTGCGTGCTTAGTCCACTTAGCTCGTACAGTGAGAGACTGGAGGTACTCATGCTTCCAACGCTTCCAAAAGTCTTGTTGAAAACGTTGAAGCAATTGCCACCTACCTAAGCGACTGATATTTAAAGCCGAGTAGTCTTCGTCAGGAATCGCAGTTAACGGTTCCATCGTAAGAAAGTGACCGGGCGTTAGTACACTTAAATCGTTCGGGTCAGAGCTGAGTGGATAAAGTGGTCTCGAATTTAGGAGGGATTCTATCTGAACAAAAAGTGTGGTTAATTCTTCGAAAGTTAATGATTGCTCTCCTATGATACGATACAGATGAGATTTAACAGATTTAATTTGGATTTCCCACACTCCGCCGAAGTGGGGACTCGAAGGAGGATTGAAACGAAATTCGATGTTTTCTTTATGAGCCGCATTCTGCATAAAACGCTGGAGATGATTGCTTGCACCTACATAGTTGGTGCCGCAGTCGGAATGAATTATACTGACTCTGCCGCGACGACCAACGAAACGTCGAAGAGCTGCTATAAAACCATCAGATGAGAGATCAGAAACAGCCTCTAGATGAATAGCCTTGGTGGTGAGGCAAACGAAAAGACATAAATATGCTTTACCTAATTTAGCACCACGATGCTTTCCAAGTTTTATACGAAACGGACCGCCATAATCAGTACCGACAACTGAGAAAGGTTTGACTCGATTAATGCGGATTGCAGGCAAATCGCTCATATACGGTTCAAGAGGCACAGGTTTTGTTTTATAGCATGCCACACATTTGGACAAGCAATGACGTATAGCTCTTTTGGCAGATATAATCCAAAATTGTTGGTTTAAAAGATACTGCATTGTATTAACACCGGCGTGACAGTTTTCACGATGAAATGCTTCGATAATGAGATATGTGAATCTAGAATCACGCGGAATCAAAGCGGGATGCTTATGTTCAAACTCGAGACCAGATCTGGCTAAGCGACCGCCCACCCTGAGAACTCCAGAGGGGTCTAGAAACGGATTAAGTTTACGCATTTGTTTTGAAAGAATGTGTCCTTCTTTCAACTGTCGAATTTCAGTTACGAAGGCAAAAGATTGAACATGTTTGACAATCATCATTAAAGCACTATGAAGCTCTGTACGAGTAAGGAAAAGATCAGAGCAACACGAACGCTGATTACGAAGGAAAGATGCGTATCTTAACCACCAACATAGAATGCGTTGTATTTTTCGAATACATGAATAGCGGCGAAGAAGAGTATCGAATATCGATATTTGGTCAGACTGGCCTTTATCATGGATTAACAGAGCGCGTGGAGGCTTCCTCTCTAAGAGCATATCTTCTTCCTCGGAAAGATTGATCTGCTGAGGCCAGCGATCGGAAGATTCTAAAAGCCAGGAGGGCCCCGCCCACCATAGAGTATTGTTTACAAGATCAGATGGAAACTGTCCGCGAGAAGCGAAATCGGCGGGATTATCCTCAGAAAAAACATGGTTCCATTTAGCGATGGGAAGGACTTCCTGTATGTAAGCGACTCGATTGGCGACAAATGTCTGCCACTGAGAAGGATGTGAACGAAGCCAGGCAAGAACAACCAACGAGTCAGACCACGCATAGACCTGAGTAATAGAAAACTTGTGCGAATATGAGTTAAGTACAAACTTTAATAAATCAATTAAAAGCACTGCTGCACATAGCTCGAGGCGTGGCAGAGAGGTTGATTTTGTTGGAGCCACACGCGCCTTCGAACAGAGGAAAAACACTCTTACTTCACCGGATACATTGACTAATCGTAAATAAATTACAGCGCCGTAACCGGTTTCTGAGCTGTCAGAAAAACCATGGAGCTCACACGATATAATGGATATGACAGACACGCAACGGGGAATTTTAAGAGTCTCTAAGAGATGAATCTGGTCCAGATAACGATTCCAGAAGCGTACAACATCGGTAGGCGGGTCCTCGTCCCAGCCCACATTAAGAACCCATAGGCGTTGAACCAAGACCTTAGCAATCAAGGTAAGGGGCGAAAGAAAACCTAAAGGGTCGAAAATGCGAGCCACTTCACTCAGGATATTACGTTTGGTGCATTTTACGTGCCGTGGTTTTACTGCAAAGAGAAAAGAGTCACTCCACGGATCCCACCTTAGACCTAAAACCTTCAAAAAGCTATTTTCATCGGTATCGAGAGACACTGGACCAGTCAAACAATGTTCCGGTGGCAAGTCCTCAAGAAGTTTCGGTTCGTTGCTCGCCCATTTGCGAAGTTCGAAATGTCCTCTCTGAAGCAGGTCGATAACTTCTGATTTAGCCTTTTTAGCGGTCTCCAGGCTCTCAAAACCCGTCACCAGATCATCAATATATAAGTCAGAAGACAAAATCTTACTTCCAAGAGGCAGTTCCTTACCTTCATCAAAGACCAGTTGCTTTATTGTACGACATGCGAGAAATGGAGCGGAAGACATGCCGTACGTGACGGTATTTAAACGATACTCTTGAACGGGTTGGTTAGTGTCAAAACGCCAGAAGATACGTTGGTAGTCACGATCAGCCTCGCTAACTACGATCTGCCGATACATTTGTCGCATGTCGGCCATAAAAACAACAAAGTGAACCCTGAAGTTCAAAAGTATCTCAACAATATTAGTTTGTAGTTTAGGCCCTATGAGTAATGTATCGTTAAGCGAAATACCTCTAGAATCCCTGGCAGAAGCGTTGAACACAACACGAAGTTTCGTTGTGACACTTTCCGGACGAACGACGCAGTGATGTGGAATGTAGTACTTTCCAGACTTTAAATTTTCGATAGAAACAGGGCTCATATGACCACTGTCTAAATAGTCTTTCATAAACTCATTATATTGCAAACGAAGATCGGAATTTTTGGAAAGTCTTTTTTCTAGTGAATATAAACAACGCAAAGCGGTGTCGCGAGATCCGGGAAAAGAATGTTCCTTCTCTTCGTCTTTGAAGGGTAAGGTAACAACGTATCGATACGTGGAATCTCGTGAGTGAGTATTTGCGAAGATATTCTCACACTTATCTTCCTCAGGAGTGAGATGTTTTGAATTTACGAAATTGAATGAATCTAGCTCCCAAAGTTTCTGTACTTCTTCATAAAGAACGTCATTTTTATTAATGAAGAAGGATCGCACCTCTTCGTCTTTGCAACCAACACTTCCTACCAGAAGCCAGCCAAAAACAGAGTTGAGGGCGGATGGTTGCTTCGGTCCTCCGTCGACTCGACCGGGTAACAGTAGCGAAGCGAAGACCTCCGCACCAAGGAGAAGGTCAATGGGGCCAGGCTTATGACAGGTTGGATCAGCTAATGGTAAATTCCTTACATGATGCCACGATGCTTGGTCGAGATGAACGGATGGCATCTTGCCACATATGTGAGGCAATGTTAAGGCGTTTATGGTGAAAAGCGGTTTACCATTGGCACAAATTTGGAGATCAACATTGCCTGTTACTGAAGCGGTTGACTGTCCTAAGCCACGAACTTGACATGATCTCGAAGTGTGAGTAATACCTAAACGGTGAAGAGCACGTTCGGTAATGAAATGTGCTTGACTGCCAGAATCAATCAAGGCACGAAAGTTTTGGAATATGCCAGACTGATCGCGTATTTGAATGTAAGCGGTAGATAATAGCACGACCGAACCATCGCCGAGACTCGTCAGAACCCTAACCTGATTAGGGGTCTGATTGTTATTATTGGATTGATTTTCCGAAGAAACAACTGAAACATCTTCGTGAAGAAGCGTATGATGTCGGTGACGACATTTTTGACAACGGAAAATAGATTTGCAGTCACTAACCGTATGAGAAGGTCGCAGACAGTTGAAGCACACACGATGAGATTTAACAAACTCAATCCGTTCAGACACGGGGGTCTGTGCAAATTTATGACATAAATTGACAGAGTGATTTTCTGAACAGAAACAGCAGGTTACGATTGGATGTGCTGATGACTGGGACAATGCATTCGAATTGGATTTAGTGACGTTCGATGATTGCAGTTGTTTAGATGAATGGGATGAGTTGGAAAGAAAAACCGAAGTGGATTTGTTACGCGAGGCGAACGAATTTACTTTGGTTGGTTGAACCCTTTCAGAACAGCGCGGTTTGTTATAATCATTTGACGAAAAATGGGTGTCACGAACGAGCGCTTCGCATTTTGCGTAAAGAAAAGATTTCAAATCTTGATAAGAAGGTAGTTCCATTGTCGAGTTTAATTGTTCGAAAGCACAGCGCGTTTTTGTATCTAATTTTGATAAAATTAAATAACAGAGAATAAAATCCCAATTTTCAGTAGGAAGGTTCAAACCCTTTAAAATATTTAGGTTTTCATTAAACAAATCCAAAGTGCGACGAAAATCGAAAGGAGAATTTATTTTAAAGTTTACATTTTGCATTTCTTTCCAACACGTAAACGCTAACTCGCGCTTATTGCGGTACCGGGCGATTAAAGTTTCGTAAGCCTCTCTGTAAAAAATACCTTGGACAGGATAAGTACGAATGAGTCCTAAGGCATCTCCACTAAGGCTGGATACCAAATAATGCATACGTTCTGTGTCTGTGAGTGATTCATTATTGTGCACCAATGAATTAAAAATATCGTAATATTCCGGCCACGATTTAATATGTCCCGAAAAAGTAGGTAATTGTAATTTAGGCAATTTTAAATTATAAGTACTTGAGCGTTCTAAAGCAGTAGTAGGTAACGATTGATTTAATTGACTTTCGTTTGAAGGAACTAACTGACGGTGCAAAGCCAAAATGTGAAAATACGTTTCATCAAATTCGGCACGTATGGAATCTTGCTCCTCAGCTGAGGTATCATCAATAACTGACAATATGGTGGAATGCGAATCTTCAAAATTATCGACTATTTTTTGCAATGTAGAATAATGAGCAATAAATATGTCAATTTGAGTAGGATCAGTTTTAGCCAGTTCTGCGACAGCAAACATCTTCCTCAAACGATTAAAAGCTAAAGTACGTTTACGACGCAATGTCGATAAATCGGCAACAGTTAGTCCATCATCAATAGGTATACATTTGGAATTGCGTTTTTTAGCCATGGTATCTGGTTTAGAGCGGCGACGTATATTGTATGACATGTTAGAAAGGTATATAAATTAAAATTAAAACGATTTAATTTTGTCCTGGAAAAAATTAAAAATCACTGTCACCCTACTTTATTTCCTTATAGCGAAAATTAAGTACGGGACGAAGCGTAATAATGTAATATGCAAATAGAACAAATAGAATCGTTCGTATGTAAACCAAAATATTTAAACGCAATTTGCAAAATCTATAATGTCATTTAGATATAGGTCACCTGTTTACGTACTCAGCTGATTACCGAAAAAATGCGCTTTAGTTATCGGTTTATATATTGAAACGCTGTGAAATCGATTAAAATGTTAATAAATGACTAAAAGAATTCAATATATTCATATGCCTTTGGTTAAATTACAATTTTTTACCAATAAAAATATTATGAGGTAGTTCGACTATGAAATTTCGAATGGAGAATTTACGTTAAATTGAATAATTTTGAAAAGTATTTCGATGAAATACGAATTAAATTGACTATGTTCAATGAAATGAATAGTTGGGAACTGAGTTTAACTAGAAAATATTCAGAAAATATATGAAGGTGCGACTTTAGTTCCCGGGTTTCGGCACCATAAAATATGTATTGTTATTGCAAATACATATTGGGGGCAGCCGATATATGTAATTAAAACGATTGAAAAAGGGGCTGCAACGAGATAACGATTAATACACAACTACGAATGGGTTTGCTAAAAGCGTAACGTACTCACGTTTGAAACCTTTGTCGCAAGCTTGTGGTCCGCGTATTCTTCTAGCTAGAAGGGCACATTAACAGCACACACAGTCACAGAAGAAATTCACAGTTTATTGTTGACGAATTCCACTTGTTTGGTATACCGCACGTAAATATAAGGGTTATATGATGTTAGCGAGTGCGCGGGCGCGGAACGGAGTGACGTAGGCCCTCTCGCGTGATCAGTGGCTAACTGTCTGCGTTAGGCTAGTAAAAAACCACATTCGCAGATGCATCGCTCTCGTTGCGAACCTACCCACATTTAAAAAAAATAATAAATCAGTAACCACGATTAAGTGATAACGGAACAATATTTTTACTAGGAAGCTGACACGACTGACTCCTAGCACAGCAGAATACAAAGTGAAGCAAGGTTATAAGTGAACTGAATGCGTGAATGATCGAATGAGTGGGGGTTGAACGAACGAATGAAGTATTTGAGTTAAGACTGAATGAGCAAATATACTTTGGCATGACCTAGTCATGTTACTTTCTTTTTATTACAAAGGGAATACAAATTATAATATATATAGATTATATTTTGCCATTTTAAATTCAATATAAATTCTCTCAAACTCAAAAATTAATCACTTTATATAAACCAAAATAATATTCTAAATAGTACATACAACTTCCTAGTATTTCTGGGAGATACAAATAACATGGCCCAACATTTGTTGCACGGGTAAGGGAAATCCAGTAAAACTATTTCAGAGAAAGAGAGTAGAGCTCCAAGGGTGGGAGAAGAAGAGAGAAGGAGAATTAGAGTATTACCATCTTTGTAAACAATGGAGAAAGATATCATAAATTATTTTCCCCCAGCTCTCGGCATGTGTAAGGAAATTGGCCCATAAACCGATAACAACATACACGCATTTTGATTTCAACAAGACGATAGCGTACCCCAGCGTCACACTCTGTCGGGAACCACCATATAAGTTTGATAAAATGATGGTGAGTTTAGTATTATTATCTATGGAGTTAATAGCTCAACCAAAAATACCTACTAGGCTGTAAGATTACTAAGGTAAAATGAAGAATGCATTAACAAATAAGCACATTTAAAAAAAATGAAGTAGATTTACTAAGGAGCTCTACGCAACTGCAATGAATGCATGTGAGTATCTCCACGCATATGATTTCAATCAATCAATCATCATCCGCCTATTAATGTCCTCACTGCTGGGGCACAGGCCCTCCCTATGGATGGAATAGGGAGATTGGGCCATGACCCACCACTCGGACCCAGTGCGGATTGGCGGGTGCTTACGACTGCAGATGCAGCCGGGAGCAACGGCTTAACGTGCCTTCCGCAACACGGAGGACTCGAGATAAAAGATTTTTGAACGAACGCACCTTTTTTTTTACCCAGGGAAATGCTCTGCACATACCCTGTTACTGGGTGGGCAACAGGGTTATGTGGGACTCTCCATACGGGCCCTACCCACTAAAACCCTGGGGTGTGCCGTCACCGCCGATTGTGACGATGTAGGATTCTTATTGGGAAGCAACCACATCGTCCCGGCGGGGCCGGCTTTACGCCGGTGGGATGCCCATGCACACCTTGGCCATCCCTACCCATCAGCTGAGACCGTGCAATGCAGGCGCGAGTTCACCCACCTCACGCCCGCTGGCCCCAAATTAGGGTGGAATAAGGCGGAGGTATTGCTGCCTCCTCCTACCTACTCGTCTCCTCCTAAGGCCGTATACAGAAAGAAAGCCGAAAGCCGATCGGCGCTTATCGGCGCCTATTGGCGCTGATCCTTTTTCTATGGACCGGCGCCGAACGGCGCTGATCGGCGCCTATAGACACGCGCTGGTCCGAATAATAAATAATTTGTATTTGAATTATTATCCTTAGATTAAATCAATCTAAGTTATAATCTTTTTATAAATCTAATAACTTTATCTTTTATTAACTAAGCGCTAAAATTATTTGTTTCGTACTTACCGAATGGTGACAACAAGTCTTTCTTCTGGAAGGATTGGTTGTTTATGCCAATTGCACCAATTTTTCATCAAACGGTTTTTCACTAAATCCAAAATGTAATAAAATGTTTCTTGAATCATTCTTGTATAATTATGTATAAAATCTTTGTTCATCAAATTTCAATTTTTTTACAAATAAATGATGGTATTCTCCGAAACGTTTCCTTTCTCTATTTATGAAATGAAATGAAATGAAATGAAAAGTCATTTATTCAGTCTAGGCTGTTACAAGCACTTGTGAAGGTCAAGAAGCTACGCCATCGGTTCGCAAAACTACGGCGGGAGACCTTGTACTGAGAAGAACCGGCAAGAAACTCAGCAAGGGCTGCTTTTTTCTCCCTGTATTGATATATACAGAGTCGTCAAGTTGAAAAATGATTTCAGAGATACATCTGAAGTCACCTTCCATTACATTATTAAGGATATAGATATATAGTTACAATAAATTTTATATTTAGTATATAGGAAGCGGCATTAGATAGGTACCATATTACTGTTTCAAAAACTGACTCATACCCATCAAATAACAAATTACAAGAAACACTATGTCCATGCATTTCGATCATTTAGATAATCATTAACTTTATAATAGCCCTTATTCATAAGAGTATTCTTAATCTGAGATTTAAATTTGGTTAGTGGAAGCTCAATCAGATCTTGGGGAACTTTGTTAAACAATGCAATACTACATCCCAGAAATGAACCTCTTGATTTTTGGAGTCTGAAACATGGAACGGCAAGTTTGTTATTATATCTCGTGTTAAAGTTATGGGTTTGACTTTTTTTTGAAAATGCGTCATAGTTTTTTCTTACATATACTAAATTTTCATAAATGTATTGCGATGCCAGTGTTAAAATATTAATTTCTTTAAATTTTTCTCTAAGAGATTCTCTTGCCTTTAAATTATATATGGCGCGAACAGCTCTCTTTTGCAGTACGAAAATACTTTCTATATTAGCAGCTGAGCCCCACAACAAAAGGCCATATGACATAACGCTATGAAAGTAACCAAAGTAAACCAATCTTGCCGTTTCCACATCAGTTAGAAGTCTTATTTTTTTAACAGCAAAAGCCGCAGAGCTCAGTCTACTTGATAAGGCATCAATATGAGGATCCCATTGCAAATGCGAGTCTAAAGTAATACCCAGAAACTTTGTAGAATCCACTAACTCTACAGGCTGGTCATTTATTTTTAAACTAGTATTAACCTGCCTCACATTAGGTAAAGTAAACTTAACACATTTTGTTTTACTAGAGTTTAGTTTTAAATTATTTACCGTAAACCAGTGAAGGACTTCAGAGAGAGCACAATTTACTTCGTCATAACAATCATTTCCTCTCCTAGCTTTAAACACTAAAGAGGTGTCATCAGCAAATAGTACTGTCTCACACAAATCTCTTGTAAAGTGAGGAAGGTCATTAATATAAATAAGGAAAAGCAATGGGCCCAATATTGAACCCTGGGGCACGCCCATAGAAATGGGTGCTCCTGTAGACTCAGCTTGATTTATAACCACTTTCTGAATCCTAGCAGAAAGATATAGGATGTATAGCTGTTTTTCGCATTTTAAATACACATTTTCTAACAAAACCAAATCATCGTCCGATGAGTCCGACATTTTGCTTGATCTGCTTTAATCGGCTTCCTTTATGTAGGAAGGATCGGCGCCGATCGGCGCTTATCGTCTTTCGGCTTTCTTTCTGTATACGGCCTAAGAGGGTAAGCTAAGTCGTCCTCATCTCTTGCCCGTTCCGCTACTTCCTTTTGCGCAACGACGTCCTCGCAGAAGGAAACAACGGCCATCCAAGAACGAACGCACCTAACTTAACTTAACCTAACCACCTGCGCCATCGAGCACCTCATATGATTTAGAAACTTAAAACATGGCTCACGAAATTTTCATGTTTGAAAACATGCAGCAGCACCTCTAGCCCTAAGTTCTGGCTAGTGGTAAAAGATGGTTGGTTTATCGAAGAGTGTTATTTAATGATCCGTATATAATTCATTTCAGGAATACGGTCTGTACGCCCACCCTCGATTCACGTCTATGTGGGTAAATTACAACTTCTCTATTCCGCTAGACCAGCTGTGGGAAGACATCACCTACAACCCAGACGAGATATTTCAGCAGTACGGGTTGGATGGGTCGATGGATAGTAAGTTATCAATTTAAGAAATAAGTTTTTTGAGGAGGAAATTCATCACGCTCCGTCTAGTCTGACTGACTAATAGGATCTACTACTATAAACTTGGGTATTCGTTATCCCATAGCTAGGATATGCAACGCGTATAACGAAATGTTAATGAAGGTACCCAGTATTGACATTTTCAACGATTCTACTCGAACTTTCCGAAACAAACTATTGCATCACTTTCAGCCTCCCAGTGTGTATTCGACGTAGTTAACATTTTTTTTTAGTGTTTTCTTAATAAAAATAACCTTAATAAATCAATAATAGCAGCATTTGTTAAAGATAATGTGCTTGTTCTCCTTTCATTTTAATTAATGTTAAACGATATGGTATAAATGTTGTGTATATCTATAATTGGCAAACATATGTAAACAGTAAAATTATCCTCTATATATTACGAATGTCTTTTATGTTATGCTGTTGATGTACCTATAAATAAAGAAATACTTAAATCTTACAAGGACGAACGTTCAGATCTCAATGGGAGCATAAAAGACGAGTTAGACTGTGAACTGAAATGGCTTCAAACAAATCTTACTTTTAATCTTTAATGAAGAGCTCGATGGCGCAGTGGAATAGAATAGAATAGAATAGAATAGAATAGAATAGAATAGAAAGTTTTATTGTCATGTTGAGTACAATGGTGTTACAAGTAATGTCTTAGTTCTAGACGGCTGCCCGTTTCGGACGTACAATATTCATTAAAGGTGGTAAATGCTATTAAAAATTTCGAAAATACACTTTTCAATTATAAAAACATTTATCTATTAACCATTTCTTTAATTTAATTTTAAATTTCAATAAATTTAAATCTTTAATGTCATTGGGCAAATTGTTAAATATTTTAATTCCACTTATATAAGAGATTTTGTCAAATATATAGCTAGTCCATAATTGCATTATTCATGTTATTTTTATATTGGGCTCCTATATTAGCTTTAGTAAGTTTTTTTTTACAAAAATATTCGTCATGATTTTTTACAAACACACATATTTCAAATACATATTTCAAATATAAATACCTAACAAGTCAATGTTAGGTATTTATATTTTATAAATACTAGTCTTATAAACACTGGTGGGTAATGCATTCAGTCTGCGATCGTGGAAAATAAGCAATATATTTTTATACAAGGCACAATAAATTACCCTATCTGATGTTAAGTGTAAGTGGAGTCAAGCCGCGAAGATGGATGATGCGGCAGAAGGTGTGACACTCCAGCCATCCTCTTGCCGGCATGAACCCAATTCTCTGCCTCGCGAAACTCTGGAACCCTAAAATTCAAAATCATTTATTCAGTCTAGGCTGTTACAAGCACTTGTGAATGTCGAAAAGCTAAGCCATCGGTTCGCAAATCTACGGCGGGAGACCTTGTACTGAGAAGAACCGGCAAGAAACTCAGCAAGGGCTGTTTTTTTATTTATTTATTTATTCATACTAGCGCCCGAATCGACGCACGCACACAGACAAACGTCATTTACACGGCCGCTAACCAATCTTGCCAAGACAAATGTACGCAGTGCCACGTCGCGCGCCGCCGAGACTGGTCGTTGGCCGAGTTAAGTTAGCTGCGCCGTGCCGCCCGCGCCGTCTTCCTCCGTTTCTATTCCGTAGCGTGGCAATAGTAACTTTACACATACAATAAAAATCGACACTAATCTATTTTACATTTTGTAGGGACCAACCCTAGCGCTCCGCTCAGTCGTAGGTATCTATTACAAGAAAATGGCTGAGTTACGCTACTGCTCTTGTATGTATTGTGACAAGGTACTGTTATTTTGCTGTGGCTTACTGAATATTTAGCATCTCGAGTTCGTATGGTTCGTAAAGCATGTTAAGGCGTTTGTCTCGGCTGCAGTCGTTAGCAACCACCGATTCGTAATAGGCTCGCGATGTAAGTCATGGTCTCACACCCATATTTCGTCTTTAAGGCAGGGCCTGTGCCTCACTTGCATTAAAAAAGGAGATCATTAGATTCCTGATGAAACACTTTTTTTTTTTGGTGTGTTTATCTGCAATCAGTAATTTACTATAAGCAGATGTCATGAAAGTTGCTGTCATGTCGAGCGTATCCTCCATTGAGGATATCTTCTCGTAATTAATTAAATTCTGGAAAAAGCTTATGGTAATATGTCCCTTCTCTTCAGGCGTTTCACATAGTCACGAGTAGTGAGTCTGGTTGCAAGTGTATTTGGGTGATTTTTGAGTCGGCTTCGATATTTATTTGTGGCAGACTGTATTTCTTCTACAACAGTGGTCATACTTAGATTTTCATGGATCTCGGAATTGGTGATAAACCATGGCACATTTGCTATTTTTCTGAGGACTATATTTTGCATCCTCTGAAGTAGATTAATGTTAGATTTGCTTGCACTCCCTCAAAGTTTGATACTATATGTCCAGGATGGTTTCAGTATTGATTTGTATATTAGGAGTTAGTTGTCCATTGATAGTTTGTTGTTCCGGCCTAGCATCCAGTAGATGTTCTTATGTTTTAAGTTTAGCTCCTCTCTTTTCTTTGTGATGTGCTCATTCCAGGTAAGTCGACGGTCCAGATGAAACACTTGAAGAAAAGTATTATGTTTTGTAGTATTGTAATGTCTATCACTAATGAGCTGATGTTGATAATGTTTTTTATTAGATGTGGAGGTTAAGACCTACATTGGTTTCATACATGGCCGTTGCTATACGCTGTCTCCCAAGGTTTTGAGTACCAGGACAGCAAGACGTACCGGTTACTCCATCACCCTAGTGCACAATGCTGATGACATTGCCAACACGATTGGTGTCGACCCTCCCGGGTACCACGTTTACATACATTACACAAGGGAATCCTTTACTGGTAAGAAATAGATAAGACGTACTGGCAACAGTGAATGTTTTAAATTAAATTTGCGAGAGAAAAGAGAAGAGAAGTTGTGATTCGTTCTCAGTTTATCCAGTGATGTTTAAAATAAATAAATTAAAGATTTCGGTGAAATGAAAGTTGATTTAGAAAAAGGACTTCAAATCTTCATTAGTGTCTCCGCACACGGGCATCGACCACAACCACAAAACGCCGCCACCGGCATATTTCTTGTAGTTTTCATACATTTTATATGGACTCGCCACACACGGTACGCCGGTGGCCGCCACACGCTACAAATCGTCGTTGCTCGTTTCTTGTGGCCCGCACCGGCCACTTAATGCGCCGATACAAAACGCTGCCACACGTCACTTACGCGATTCCCCTACCCTCTCTCTCTTATCTTAGTCGGCCGCTGTCGCGCGCTTCAGCCACTTTAGTAGCCGCTTCTAGCTTCTCGTGGCGGCGTTGTGACTGTGGCGTGTGGCCCGTGTGCGGTAACACTTTCTTGTCACGACTTGATATCAAACATGTAAAACCTTCCTCTCCATAATAGTACTTATCAAGTTTGCATTAATTTTAACACGTAATCTCATAGTAAAATTACATAAATATTACTCTGAGTGGTGGGCAAAGTACGGCCCGCGGGCCACATTCGGCCCGCCGACGGGTTTTCAATTTGGATATTATATATGGTCTATTATATATACTAGCAAACCAGTGAACCAAATGTTCACCAAAACTTGATTTCTCGAAAACCGGAAGTGCTACGTTACTCAAATCCGGTTTGTAGTCTTATCAGACTATTCTTAACTTATAACTTAAACATTCTCTTTATCTATATCTTACGGTTTGGCCGCTGAAACAGCACCACAGACAGACGGACTTGTCTAATAGATAAGAGATTATAAGTTTAAGTGATTATTACCAACTTAATCTTCTTTGTCATTGACCGATCCACATTTTTTTCTTTAATTGAAATTGACAATTTTTGATACATTAAGAATTTCATTTATGGTCCGCCATTCAAAAAGTTTGCCCACCACTGTCAGAAGCGATAGGAAATCCTATTTGTAAAATAGGAAGTAAAAATCCTGCCCAAATGTAACAAATCGCTCGCTGATGCTAGTAAATTTTCATTCAGGCCATATCAGCATAGCTTGATTTCCCTAAATATCAGATATCAGTTTCCACAATATAAGAAAATGATGGAATGTATGACGGAATTGTTTCCCTTTTGCGCACTGCAAGGCTTGTGTTACAGGATAGTAGAGTTACGGATAGAATACATATAGGTACTGTACATTTTCCTCTTCTCTTCCTTTCGCCTCCCACTATTATTAAAGCGTCCTCTCCTCTCCCTGTCTTTCCCACTCATTCTACCTCCCTGGCTGCATCTCGACGCGGCCTCGGACGCTGTAAGCCTATTATACCAACCATCGAATCCTCTACATCACAAAATGTAACCTAACCCATCGTCAACTTTAAAATGTAATAAATAAATAAGTGCTAAAAAATATATAGAAATACATATTAAACATCCATGACTGGAGTACAAATGCTCGTATTCATCACATAAACATCTGCAAAATGATTTGTGAGATCAAAATTGGTAACCATATAACTTTAACGCTGCAAAACTTTCGATACATTAAAACTGAAACTCTTCTCAATCTCAAGTTTTGGAGATGACTTTCAATAATAATAATAAATAAATAACCCTTTACAACCGATTCTATACGAGCGTGACGATCGAGAAATTATTTTTTTGGCGCGAAGCAGATTCGTTTTTGTCAGCGCAACCGGCTTCACACGGTCGTGCGGACGTTTGCCGCTAATTTAAACAAAATAACGACTTTCTGTAACCTGTCAGTGGCCTGCGGACCGTCACCAAAGATGGCTGCGTATTTTGGCGAAGGTGCGCGATCACGTAAGTACATTATTTTGTTACTTTTTACATTACATGTTCATTGTTTTTGTTGTTATAGCTTACGATAATAAATAAACAATACGATAACACGTTTGCAATGTAAATAATTGCGTTTTCTTTTTGCCTACAACCTTATAAACATGGATCGTCACGAACGTGATGATTCGAGTTTTATTGCAATATTTACTATTAAAAATCCACCATTTCTAACTATCGTTTTTCTCATTGTACCTGAGTTTACACTTCTGTTTTTTTCTTTTTAGGTAGAGTTTTGCGGGACGAAGATATTTTAAAACTTATCCAAGATGGAAATGACTCGGACATTGAGGAGCTCCATGATGATGGTGAAGACTTTTTTGATACAGATATAGCACCACTGTCTCCAGGCCATCCTCAGCATCTACTAACACCTCAAGAACAGTCATCGAATGAGGTAGTTACCCAAAATTTTACTACCGGGCGTACTGTTACATGGAAGCAAACTACTTTCAATGACAAGGAACATAACTATCCATGTCAACCCTCGGGCCTGGTAAGACTCCCTGCTCAGTATATACAGGACTACTTCCAAGAAGATTTTTTTGAACTTGCTGCTCATTGTTCCAATATTTACCACCTCCGCAAAAAAGGAACAGAGCTTAAAACTACTTCACAAGAAATAGCAAAGTTGTTTGGTGTCCACTTGATTATGGGCGTAATCCCATACCCACGTTTACCAATGTATTGGCGATCGTCCACGAAGCTGCCATTAATTTCAAACAGCATGAGTCGCGACCGATTTCTTCAATTGAGAAATTCCCTTCATGTTGTCGATTCCGATACGCCGCCACCACGAAACGACAATTCTCCTCCTAATCCACTTTGGAAAGTGCAACCTATCATCGACAGAGTTCGGGATGCCTGTTATAAGTTAGAGAGGGTATGTGGATATTTTAGTATTGACGAACAGATGATACCCTTCACAGGGCGATGTCCTCTGAGGCAAGTCGTAAAAAATAAACCACGTCCAACAGGACTAAAGAATTTCGTCACTACTACTAGCGATGGCCTCATGGTCGATTTCGAGATTTATAAAGGCGCCAATACCATGTTTGGAGATACGAGTTTAGGTCTTGGCCCATCAGTTGTTCTGCATTTGATCAAGACTATTCCGCCTGGTAGCTGCGTGTACCACGATCGTTATTTTACGACAGTTCCATTAGTAGAGGAGATGAATCGACGTAACTTGCACTCGTCTGGTACTATAATGATGAACAGGATCCCCGATAGAGCAGCGGTAAAATTTAAGAAGGACAGTGCTATGTTTCGTGGCGAAAGTCAACAATTTGTTAGAGATCCGGTGTCACTGGTTAAATGGAAAGACAACAAATCTGTTTTGATTGTCTCCAATTGTACTGGTGCTGAACAAACCGATTTTGTGAAAAGATGGGATAAGCAATCGAAATCCTACAAAGATATCACCGCTCCAAGAGTAATCAGCAATTATAAAAACCACATGGGTGGGGTGGATGTCCTGGACCAAATGATGGAATACTATCGGGCTTTTATAAAAACTAAAAAGTGGACTTTAAAAGTAATTATACACTTTCTCGATTTGGCCGTGGTTAACGCATGGCGGAAGTATCAAATCGATTGTAAGGCTAATAAGCTCCCGAGAAATAAAATATTAGCCCTTCTAGATTTTAAAATGGAAGTAGCAGATACTTGGTTAAATACACCAACGCGTAGCCGGCAACTGGATAACGACAGCGACACAGAGGATGAGCAGCCACCAGTGAAGAAAAAATATATGCCACCTAAACCTTCTGATGCCAAAAGATACGACGGTTATGATCATCTGCCTACTTTTGATGAGTTATCGGCTCCACGCTCTTGCAGGCTAGAATCATGCACCAGTCGAAGTAAAATTCGTTGTATAAAATGCAACGTCTACTTGTGCCTTTCACGAGGAAAAGATTGCTATAGGTTTTACCATACAAAGAGCTATAATTAGTCATTCGATTTACAAATTTATATATTTAACTTGTTGATCTCAATTTATTCCTTTATGCTTTGTCGTTTATTGTTAAGTTTCCAGAGAAATTTTATGTTAAGTTCATGTTGAGATTTTGTGTCTGTTTTGAAATATGTACCTACATACGTATATTTTGATAGATATCATATTGACCGTTGGATAAATAAGTACAAAAACTTAAAGACTGGTAATATTATTGTCAAGTTATTGTATAAAAAATAAAACTAAGTTGATTAAATAAGTAATTCCTTTGATTTTTTTACCTATTCTTTAGAACATCCTTAGAAGTCACGTTCGCGACGATGTCAAATTATTCCTGATCGTCACGATCGTGCGGGTTATTTTGACAGTTAACCAAGGGTACATAATTTTTTTAAATATTTTTCCTATATTCTTTGGACTCTAAATAATCAGAATATATAATTCATATGACAAAAAAACGAAAATATGCTCTCCGGTTGTAAAGGGTATAATAAATATTTCCAACACTCACACCAATTAGCCTAGCCCCAAAGTAAGCACTGTAAGCTTGTGTTATGAGATGCTAGGGTAACGGATAGAATACATAAGTTGATACATATATAAGTATAAATATATAGAAATACATATTAAACATCCATGACTGGAGTACAAATGCTCGTATTCATCACACAAACATCTGCCCCCACCGGGATTCGAACCCGGGACCTCTCGAGATGGCCACACCTTGAAACCCGGCGTATAAAAACACTCGGTCACGGAGGTCGTCAATGTTTTGTCAATGGTTCAATGTTTTTAAAATCAGTATGAATTTTAGCTTTGTGCTTTAATCCTGTTTTTATCTTTGCTAAAATTTTATGTAAACAGAGATCCCCGTGCACAACGGTGGGCTGGTGAATTATTTTCATTTCAAAGTGGGCGAGACCATTGACGTGAGCCTTACAGTCAACCAGTACGTGATGATCAGCAGCAGTGACGACCCCTGCGTCGACAACGACAGCTACAGCGCCAATAATGTGCGAAATACTATATTTCGATACATTTTTAACTCGAAAAACCGATTTCTTTTTTCATTTTGAGGTATTTTTTCTAAAGAAGCGGAAGCTCATTCATAGGCAAGCCTTAGTGTCGCTGCACACGGGCCACCGACCACAACCACAAAATGCCGCCACCGGCATATTTCTTGTAGTTTTCATACATTTTATATGGACTTGCCATGCACGGTACGCCGGTGGCCGCCACACGCTACAAATCGTCGTTGCTCGCTTCTTGTTGCCCGCACCGGCCACTTAATGCGCCGATACAAAACGCCGCCACACGTCACTCGCGCAAATCGGCCGCTGTCGCGCGCTTTAGCCACTTTAGTAGCCGCTTCTAGCTTCTCGTGGCGGCGTTTGTGGCTGTGGCGTGTGGTTCGTGTGCGGCGACACTTAAAAATTTCCCCATAAACCCTGCGTCAACTACGACAGCTTTAGTGAAGCTGTCGTAGTTGTCGTTGTTGAAGTGTTAGTATTCTATACATCAGTGAATTCTTGTTCATACAAGGCTCAGCTCCCTAGCATGAGCACCTCGATATGTTATAGATCGCGTTTTTATCACGCTCAAATGTAAAATTACTATGAAGTTTGGCAGTTAGACGCGATAAAAAACGTGATATAGCGTAAATTGTGGTGCTCATGCTACGGGGACAGACACAATTTGTAAAGCTTGTCTGCTTTAAATTTAGCTTGAGGTTTAAAACACGTCCCATAAATTTATATTCATAATGTTTAAATCTCAAAATTACTTACAGGATATCTTATGAAAGTTTTTTAGTTTTGTATGGAATAAATAAACATGTTTCGTACAAACATCGCTAATTTAGACCTTCAGATCACGGCATGCTTTTGCAAAACTCAGAGCTAAAGTCAGTAGTCTCTCATTTAAGTTTTTTAAAGAACATATGCTTATAAAAATATATCTTCATCAGTGTACCACCCGGCGTGTCTGGAGTGAAGTAGAACGAATCGCTGGGTGTTCGGGACCATGGTTATTAGGAAGCGACTTACCGGCCTGCCATAACTTCACAACGATGAGAAGATTGATCTCAACTTATATGAGGTAATATAAAATTTCAGATAATATTCCATTGTTGATACGCTGCTGTGGTGCGACTTTGTGGTGCTGCTGTTCAAGTTTCCATACAAAATTTGACAATGACATTTCGGACTCGCAAACGTTACGAATTCGATTTTGGTTCGTGCTAGGGGTACTAAAGTCTTCAACGCAGCGCGAGCGAAACAGCGAGTCCGCTTCCGAGTCTAGAGCTGTATTGTTGTCCTTTTCTTAATAACAAAATGGCGATTACGTAAACAACATTCACGACGAACCGTGATTTTAAACTATTTGTGTTCTTTATAAAAACATCGAAGGCATTGTTTCATCTTTATAACACAGAATATACGCAATATTGTTATATTGAGTGCACATGCAGCGTGTTTGAATGTCCAGTTGTGACTAAGCGAATTATGGTCTTGCATAACAATTTAAGCAGATCCCTTATGAGCCGCGAGTGTTGTATCTTCCCTTTTAGTTTTAATCTAAGGCTTTAATATAATTTACCTTCATACTATCTTCTGCAGCTTCATCGAGAGCCATAACTTTAGCGTGTGCCCGCGGTTCTGTCGCTCGTATCTCTACAATGGCTTTATCAACGATCGCCATTCGTTCGCCTGGGATGGGCAAACCAAGCTGTGGACGGCAAAGATAGGGAACGATGCTTTGCAGACTCAGGTAAGTTAGTGGCACCAATTACCGACGAGAAGCAATGATCGAGTTCTTTTTTCTGTGATATCTGAAAATAAGATTAAGTATCTTAGATCTGTTAATACTGTTACACCGAGCGTCTGTAAATTATGTGCCCAAATGAAAGACAATTCGATAAAGTAGGTATCTGAGATGTTTACTGCTCGGAAGCCGATAAAAAGTGTCATTAAAAATAAAGTTTTTCTCCAAATAAATATGATATATTGTCGGCAACGCCATCTAGTTTCTAAGTGACGAAACCTTAATAAATTCGGTATGCGAAGTTTGCAAGCCATCTAGATTCACCTAGAGTGAATAGATGGCGCTGTCGTAACCGCGTCTATAACTCGGTGTTACCATATTTAATGCGGTGGACCGTTTTATAGGGTTCCGTACCCCAAAAGGAAAAAACGGAACCCTTATAGGATCACTTTGTTGTCCGTCCGTCCGGCCGTACGTCTGTCAAGACCGTTTTTCTCAGGAAGGCGTGGAGGTATCAAACTGAAATTCATATCTAATACTCAGGTCTGGTGTCCATTGGAGCTGTGAAAACAACATACTTCTAAGTCAAAGCACTCAAAAGATACTGCTGTTTATGCCGCAAATTTTCTATACTCGCACGGGATTTAAAACCTACAGGGTACTTCCCGTGAATTTAGAATCTTGAAATTTGGTACGAAGTTACGTCTTATAGTACAGATAAAGGAAAAATTGCGAAATCCGTAAATTTTTAGTTTCATCATATAATAAAAAATATTTTTGAAAATTCAGGTTTGAACGGAACCCTTGGTGCGCGAGTCCGACTCGTACTTGGCCGGTTTTTTTAAGAATAAATCATTTTTATTTAACTGAATATAATTAGGTCCACAATACCTAATAATTATATAAAATAATTAGATGGATCTTTCTTAAATATATTATTTATATTTTATTAAGTATTAAATAATAAATATTATTTTTCCATAAAGCCTTTAGGGTTTTAGATAATAATAAATTAAAAAGATATTACAACTATTTATGGAAAATCTTATTAACTTACGATTTTGTTTGAATATTAAATATATTATTGTGAATTTTTTTTGCAAAACAATTTCGTTCCGTCTTGTACTAACAACGGTAGCGTTTAATCATATTACTTTAAATAGGCAAAACAAGTGGTTACCCTATTCGCTATGTGCGAAGTACATGGTGGGGGTATAGTGAAGCGATCGCAGCGCTTATCGTGGCAGAAATACGCAACAATCCGGGAAAGTAAAGTCAATTTGCACGGAGTTCGTAATAAACAAAAAATTTTTAAAATGCCTATTAATAGATGTTGTTGTGTTGTGAATTGCAAAAATAAGGGCACAAATAGTCTGTGTATATATTTCCTACATTGGACTGGAAATTAAATCAAAGAAATAAATGGATAGATGCCATAAAAAGAAATAAGTAAGCGAAATAACCTTAAATTATGATCAATTTTATTTGCGCTATATATTTTATGTGATATTCATTATTGTCTTTATTATTTTAGTGTTGATGGGTCGCCATGGTATCCCAAACCTGACGACACAATTTGTAGTGAACATTTTATGGGAAACAAAAAATCAGACGAGGAAGAAAATCCGAGTTATGCTCCTACGATATTCCCTGAAATATATCGAAAGAGGAAGGTTAATGATTCACAGGTCCTAGCTAGATATACACGCTGACAAAACGAAGAACCACAAAAGTCTCAGATACCACATCAAGTCAAATAATAATTGAAGAAGGGAGTGAATTAAATCAAACTCAACCTTTTATGATCGATCAAGGATGTCAAGTCAATATGTTTTCTGAATCGAAATTAAGAGATACAACTTTTATTTGTATTAGATTAATTTACAGTGATCACTGTGATCCAACATCAAGAATTTTAATGACAAATAATTCAAGAAAGAAAGATAAAAGCTGTGGCACTGACAAAAAATCGTATGAGGATCAATCTACCGAAACAAAAAGTCAAGAATTTGTTGGTATTTCATCAATAACAAATGATCAAGAATTCCTAGATCCTTCTGGTGTGTCATTTAGCAATTTTGAGTTTTTATTAACAAGATTAACTATGAGAAAATGTACAGTTTCCACTAAAGACCGACTTCTGATTTTTTTGATAAAAATGAAAACTGGCTTGACATTTTCAGCATTGAGTGTGTTATTTGGTGTACAAAAAAACCACAATCTCACGTATATTTCATTCGATCTTACAAAATCTAGCTTGTTCAACTGCTAATTTAATCTTTTGGCCGAATAGAGCCACCGTACAAGCACCAATGCCCAAGTGTTTCAGTCCAGATTACATCAATACAAGAGTTATTATTGACTGTACTGAATTCCGAATTGAAATCCGACATTATTTAAATTATTATACAATATATAATAATTTTTATTTATCTTTACCTTACTATATTTACTAGAAATCAATAAAATACAAACTGATGTCATTATTTGGCATAATCCCGGAAAGTTGCGCATTGTAGGTGGCGCTACTGTCGTGCACATAGCGAATAATATTAATAACTATTATACTATTTTTTAAAACATACCATAAAGTTTACCTCTGTATACCTTAATGTAAACTATAGTGCCTAAATTATTAAGGAACCTGGAAAATGAATTAAGCCATTCGCCTAACGGAAATGCTTTGGAAAACGCTAACGCTTACGATTTCATTTTGTTATTTCTAGTCGCCTGAGGATTTCAAATGCCTCGCGCTATTTTTTTTTTCTTTTTCATTGGTAATAAAAATATTTAAAAAAATGAGCGTGAGGTATTTAAAAACCTTCGGCGGTCAGAAATAACAAAATAAAATCGATAGCGTTAGCGTTTTCCAAAGTCTTTCCGGCGAATAGCCCCCTGCTCTCTACACTATTACAGAGGAGTTCCTTACCAAAAAAGCTTCAATAAAAAAAATATGCTTCCTTTGATAATCCTTTCCAATATATTCTTTACATTCAAAAAATCTAATTACCGAATTCAATGTTCCAGTTTTACATATACTTCAATACAATGATGGTGTCCGTTTTCGAAGAACGTTATAATTACGATTGGAATACATTCATGTCAGATCTTGGAGGGAGTGTGGTGAGTAGGGTCAAGATATTATTATTATTAGATAATTAGATTTGTCGATATTTTTGAAATTAGTCTGCCAGAAATTGGTTATAAGGTTAAGTGTCCACATTGTTACATGAAGAATATGGTTGCTTTCCAATTACAGCATTATAGGGCATTATGCGGCATAATGCTTAACGTTGAGTGTTCCAACTACAGCAACGCTTCGCACAATTGAGCACTCTCAAAAGTGATGCTTTCGCGTGATGCGTGCAATCGTACCAACTTAGAGACAGAAAATTAACAAGTGTTTTTTCTTTAAGTTGGCATTGATCGAAATGTTTTATTTATATGTTATCGTTAGTAATATTATTTATTGTTGAAAAATTATTAAAGCTTTCGTTTCATTAAATAGTTTTTTTTTAAATAATCAAAGTTCATTCAAACTGTTAAAAAATAAATATAAGTATGGATGAAAGTACAAACATTGACTTTTTTTTTCAACACTGAACTTAGCGCATTCTTCTGGTGCATTTGAAAACTAATTCACGTTCCAATTAAGCATCAGCATAATTGGGCATTGTGCGGCACTGAGTCGCATTATGCTCTGTAATTGGAAACCATACTATCTCTGTAACCACGGTCTGTAACATACCTGGTAATTTGACGTCTGATGACTGGTCGCATATGAAACTAATAAGACACGTCAAGACAGACCATAGACAATTAAAAGAAGGGCAGAGGTATTCCTTATGTTACACTGTGACCCTTGTTACATTGCCCCCCAATTGATCGTATTACAAATGTACAAGCCATTTTAATTATATTTTATTAAGTTTGCATTCCGAGTCGATGCACTCTAAACTGCTGACACAGTTGACCCACTAATTGGTTTAAGAACAATATTTTACATTATATGACAGTGCAATAAAGGCATTCACATCATATTGACGTATTTTAATAATTATCTCCTGACAATCGTCCCGTGACTAATTGACATATTGACAGTCGTTAGGGTCCTAGTAACGGCCCCTACTACAAATTTCTGTCAAAATAATTTAAAATATAGCCAAGTCTACGTTGTCTTACTTTAGGCAACGGTGGGCAACTTAATCGTGTCTGATTACCTCGCATTATCGGGGACTTTTCCATAACACATTGATACTTATTATCTTAAGAATCTACAATAGCAATTTGTTACTATTAGAATCAAAGTATTAGAGTAGGTCTATATCCAGCAGTGGACGTCCATCAGCTGACGATGAGAATCAAAATAATTTATTGTATTATCTCTATTTGTGCATTTCAGTGATACTACGAGTATTTCCCTTCATATAGTTGTGAATTACCCTATACTTATTGTAAATTTCCAAAAACTTTAATAAATGTTTAATATAGTTATTAAATTTGTGAAATATTTTCGATTTTGCCACAGGGTTTTCTTCTTGGGCTCTCAGTTATCAGCATCATGTCGATCTTAGGAAAATTTTGGGCGATCTTTGTCAAACCAAAAGTCAAGAGCTCCATTGACTCAAATGCTGAAGTGAAAATCAAGAGCTCCATTGACTCAAACGCTGAAATCAAAATGAAGAGCAACGTTGACGCAAACGCTGAAATCAAAATTAGGAGCCCCATTGACTCAAACGCTGAAATCAAAATGAAGAGTCCCATTGACTCAAACGCTGAAATCAAAATTAAGAGCCCCATTGACTCAAACGCTGAAGTGCCTACCGAAAAAAAGTCTTACCAGGAAAATAGTATCACATGTGTGGAAAAGGATGTGTTAAACCTTAGTTATTAGTCACTGGCCTTATTAAATGCTGCATTTTAATATATAAGGATTAATTTACCAAGATTTTTGTGATCCAAGCAAAATATTTACAACTTAACATGAAACAATAAAAATATTTGTAAATCCATACTGCTCTTTCCATTGTTTTTAACCTCCATTCAGAGAAATCATTTTTTTATGTCTGGAAAATGCCTCACGTATCCTTCAACCACAAAGTACCCCTCCCTGCTTATTTCAGTCAGCCCTGGGGCTTGATGAGGAGGACCCTACCTAACGCCCTTAATAGGGCCAGTAAAAACCAGACAATACTCCAGCACCCGGCATATATTCTGAGGACTGAGGTCCCCCTAATGCACGCCGGGAGCGCGGGTCTGGTAGTGGCACCCGATTCCCAACTGGCCAAGCACCCGAGAGTCTGGTCAGGTCAGGAATATGTAATTTTTAAAGACAAAGGTTTTAATGCTTCTTATATAAATAAAGAGCATCTATTGTTATATCCGGAGCTATACGATGCTGATAGGAGACGAAAAATAAGAGACAAAAGAGAGTATGGTAGAGAAAATAGTTATACATATAAAAGAGTAGATAGGAGATAAAAAAGCAAGGAAGCAGAAAATATAAAGACAAATGTATGGAATAGAAGTTAAACAATACAAAGCTTTTTTGCAGGACTTGTTTGTAATAATCAACTTTCTCTGAACTCGAAACTGAGCTCTTTAAAGATTATTCTTATATATTTCCTAATTGAGCAAAGGTTATTGGCAACGATCTTTAGTGTAATAAATGACAATTATGTTATTTAGATATATAGATGAAATTATTACAACACACACAATATCTCACATATACACACAAACACATACTCACTCACACACACATACACACACACATTAATCAATAACGTTTTTGTAATCATCCGGTGTCTCAAATCGAACCACTGCCTTTCATAATACAGGTCTTACCTAGCATGAAAGTCAGGGGTCCTACTTATAAGACTATAAGATAGCAAACCATTCCTTGTTTATTTTAAGATGATATTGTAGTAGTACTTGTAAGATTTGATGAATAAACATTATTATTATTATTTAGATATGTATGCTTCCTTTGAATATCTGCCAATCCCATAATGGATATGGATATTATCGTATTATATACATATCTAGAAGTCTGTAACACACATATCACTTGTTTCTAACTGAAAGATAACGTCTTATGTCGGTGCAACGTTCAAGGCCATCCCAAAGATGCTTAAGAATTTAAATCCAGTCAGATATTTGTTATTTCTGTCTGGAATCTAGATTTATCGGGATTTATGGTGCGGGCTTCACCTACGTCAGAGTTATTTCAACATTTCGTCTTCTGACGGAAGCAGACATAATGATATAACTGTAAGAACGTTCGGTAAAGTGGTACTGTGTAATATTTATTTATTTGTGTCAATAAGTCTTTCAATTTAAAGGTAATCAGGCAAAAGAACATAAACAGGGCTATTTTATTTATAACTTTGCCAGTATTTAACCTAAGGCTAAGTAAGGCTTCTGCTGAAAAACAGTGTCGTGACTCTCACTACTTATATCTACTGAGCAATGACTTGCTTGGTTCAAAATCCCTGTGTAATTTAAATATTTTTGAAGAGAAAACTTCTTTAGCGGCGTTGTACACTTTCTTTTGTATGGATAAAAAATGTTAAACTCGCGTCAGGTTAAACACGTGGGCTGATCGCATCATGGCACACAATAAAATTGGAAAGGTTGTTGACTTTCAATATATTGGACCAAACATTGTTATATTTTATTTTATCGTATTATAATAATAAATCTCTATCTAGGACGTCCACGTGGCAGCTTTATTGCGAAGAAAATGCATTTTTTTACAATAAATGTCGCTGGGTGCGTTTAAATGTGATTCATGTAAGTTGATTATTCTGAGAGATAAACTTTATTAATGTAATATAAATTGTCATGTTTGTGTACGATAGCGTAATAAATAAATATTGTATTCATGTTAGTTTATACTGATATTTGAAGCAATTCGTGCAAAATTATTCCCTAACCATTCCAATCAAAAATGCACAACGTTAATATTCAAGTATTCACTTCTGCCGACACTCCCGGAGTGCAACCCGTCCTTTTTTTGTAATTTGTAATTGATAAACATTTTTATTATTATCATTATTTTTCTTTATTTTTGTCAATGTTAGCTTCAGTTATAGTCAAGGTTTCAATAGGGATTGCATTATTTTTTATGTACACAGGACGGCAAATATGTAAGTATCTTATGGGATGCGGCTGTCGTAGCCTATGCTTGCTGACCATTGTATGCTTGCAATATCAGAGAATGACTTGAGCACTGCCTATATTATAAGCCAATTCCCCAGACACTGCTCCAACTCGAGTGGGAAATCTATTATGTTCTAGCCAACGATATTAAATACATCTAGCTTTCTACATTTTATTTTTTAGTACATAATATTTTTTTTGCTTAAAGTAGCAACAAAATTGTATTTATACAGGATGTTACAGAATTCCGAAATAAAATTTGTAGGTATGTATTCCGAAATAAAAATTTGTAGGTATCTGAGCGGGGCGCCTGGGGGAGAGATGGGGTCTGTTTAGGTAGTAGTAATCGTACGCATTTATAGGGTTGTCATAGGCAGGTGTAAAACGATATTATTAGTAAAACGACTTTTATTAGAAAATAAAAGTGGTCTGAAAGGCGTCAAACTTTCGTAGGTAATTCTATACAAGGAACACAACCAAACCCTAAAGTTTTATTTCGGACTTTTGTAACAACCTGTATATATATATATATATATATTATGATATGTACCCTTAGCACGAACCAATATCGAATTCGAATAGTTTGAGAGTCCGAAATGTCATTGTCTATTGTGTACTGATTTTAGTTCTCGTTACGTCTCTTGTGGCACTGCTGTTCAAGTTTCCATACAAAATTGGACAATGGCATTTCGGACTCGAACGCAATCTATTCGAATTCGATATTGTTTCATGCTAAGGGTACTGATGCAGTCATAAGTTAGACTTTACCACTAATTTACCCGTATTAACGAATCCTCTGTCACTCGAGTGGTATGTACGGAGAAAATATTGAAATAAGTTACCTTTATTTCAGATTATTTATACAAAGATTATATTACAATACATTAAAACAACACAAACTTAAAAACTATATAGCTTAACCTACTTACCTACATAAATAAATAATTTACAAAATAAAAAATATATCACCCCCAGCGCCGCCATCAGGAATGGTGCCCAATAGGCTGGCAGCATTGCCGCGTTGGATGGCAAGGCTGTTCCGTTGACCAACATAGCTGCCAGCCTTTTGATCACCAGTCACTTCGGTGAGCCTCTTTGACAATTCCTTAAAAAGGGGACGAGCGCTTGGTCCCCATGGGCCCATAGTCTCAACACCAAACGGCACAAATATGTAGCTCTCATTGAGAGCTGAATATTTGCGTCGCTTATATTATATTTAACTAGCAAACCAGTAAACCAAATGTTCACCAAAACCTGATTTCTCGAAAACCGGAAGTGCTACGTTACTCAAATCCGGTTTGTAGTCTTATCAGACTATTCTTAACTTATAACTTAAATATTCTCTTTATCTATCTCTTAAGGTTTGGCCGCTGAAACAGCACCACAGACAGACGGACTTGTCTAATAGATAAGAGATATTAATATTTAATATTTGAAATAAGTAATTCTTTTTGAAGCACTAAACGAAATCGAGAGTACATGTTTGGGTTTTTGAGCACCCATCTGATATATGACCTTTGCTAGAGTTATCAGAAATCAGAAAAGTTTATTGCGTTTCAACTACTTTTTTTTAGTGTGTATGCTGTTGGTCGCAGATGACCTTTACAGCGTCACCGGGTTTGGGGACGGCGAGATCCTAAGGGACCTCAAGGCGAGAATTGGCGAGTGTCAAGCTAATTTCTTGATAATGTATATGATAGTCATTGCACAGTTTACGTTATTCTTTTAAATTTTATTTGACGACCTCCATGGTCAAGTGGTTTGTACGCCGGGTTTCATGGTGTCGCCAATTCGAGAGGTTCCGAGTTCGAATCCCGGTGGGGGCAGATGTTTGTGTGATGAATTCGAGCATTTGTACTCCAGTCATGGATGTTTAATATGTATTTCTATATAAATAAATATACTTATATATGTATCAGTATATGTATTCTATCCGTTACCCTAGTATCCCATAACACAAGCCTTACAGTGCTTACTCTGGGGCTAGGCTAATTGGTGTGAGTGTTAGAAATATTTATTTATTATGATTATGAAGGGTGATCAAAATAACTAAAATCAATAATTTATTAGGTATCATTAATCCAACAAATATAATCATCTATTTGTGCACTTCAATTGCACCTCTTGGCAATTGAGCGATCGCGTTGCATTCTATCTGACGCATATTCGTAAGCTACAGGATGTGTTTACGAGCGACGCGACGTGCTGAGCTGAAGCGTATTTCAAGCTTTTATTCGGAAGGCACGTTAAGCCGTTGGCCCCGACTGCATCTGCAGTTGTTAGCACCCACCAATCCGCACTGGGCCCGCGTGGTGGGTCAGGGCATAAACTCCCTATTCTATCCAATTTTAATTCTTTTAACTGCCTATCATTTAACGGTTGGCCGTTAAAGGACTTTACAAATTTCGTAAAAAATGTCAATCTACCCTTGATTGTACCGCGTTTTTTATTTAAATCGTGAATCACATTATCACTGATATTTTCTAAAACCGGCAAAGGAGATTTGCTACGCTCAGATATCCTATCCACATTTTCTACAACTAGACAGATTTTAGCACTTTATGAAATACAAGGGTACTCACAATTCCTCTGCAAACACCCTGGTTTAATCGCGCGAACCAGAATTGCGAGGCAAATCACCTGTAATTAATCACAGTTTTAGCACAAATACGATTAGGGAAAGAAAAATCGTGTGTTTTTGATATCATAAATTGTAAGTTTGATAAATTGTTATTTTAGATTTTTATCACTGAAGAGTACAAAACTGAATTTATGATACAGAAACACAAAAATTACGCTTGCCGCAACTAATTAATCAATCGTTTCTTTTGTAGTTGGCACTTGATTT